ACTCGACCCAGCTAATATTCCAAGATTTAAACATGGATCGCCCCCCCCCCTCTCGCTCGCTCGCTCGCTCGCTCTCTCTCTCTCTCTCTCTCTCTCTCTGTCTCTCTTTCTCGCCTCTCTCACTAAAGTGATAATCAATCACATCTGCCTCAACTCGTGATAAAGTGGCTCATACAGTATTTGTTGTCGCTGCAAGACACGCCATTATTGCATTCTTATTCATTTTGAGCGTAACTTTGAAAACGTTCCATTTGCAGTTGTGTTAAAAGGGAATTTGACGTCACCTAGTGGACAGTGATGGAAAGTGGACACCTTTTACAGTGTGTTCGTGAGATGTTTCCAGTGTGCTCTAAGAACAAACTGCTTTTCTGAAAAAAAAAAGGGAAAATAGTCTTGGGCAAAAAAACATTTAAATCTAGAACAATCTCTTTCTCATGACGATGTATTTAATGATCTATTCCAAAACTCATTTGGCATTGCATTTCACATTCCAGAATATACATTTATCATCGACAACACCCGGGAGTGGGTGGCAAGCAGTAGTGTAGTGGGGATTTTTTAAGTGGGTGTACGCGATTCTGGGATGTTCTATATATACATACAGAACATCAATCATAGGCTACTACACCAGTTGAACTAACGTTAAATGTAATGTTTTACTACTCCAAAATAATCACAGGCCAACGTTATTAAGCATAACTCGCATTAGAACAATGATCAACAAACATTTCAATAAAAATTGAATGTGGCGTCGGGAGAAGTGGGTGGACGGCGTACCCCCCGCGTACCACGCCCACGACACCCCTGGTGGCAAGGTGAACAACTGGTTATCACGTCTGTGTCAGAACACAGGTCATGGGTTCAATTCCCAGCTCCGTCCTTCCTGTGTCGAGTTAGCATGTTCTCCCCGTGCCTGCGTGTGTTTTGTTCGGGTACTCCAAGTCTGGAAAGTAGCTGTTGGCTGTCGTAAAATGACGCCATCATCCAATTTGCATAATTGACCATGTGCATGCTGTAATTGACACTGTAGGAGAGGAATAACATAGTCGTGGTTGAGACAAAAGGTAACAAACACCCTAAATATGTTTAGGATTACAAATGAACTTTCTTCTGTCAATTCTTGTTTCTTTTATTGTTACCATTCCAACCCTCTTCCTTGATGCGGGCTTGGGCCCGGGAGCGGACCCAATAGAGACATTCAGGCGGAGTTTCTTTTTTTTGTTTGTTTGTGTTTTAGTTCCTTTTAAATTTTTGTTATTGTTGTTGTTTAGTTTCCTTAAGTTTAGTTTGGTCACAATAAAACCTGAACATTTTAACCTTAAAAAAAAGACAATAGAATACATGTCAACTGCAGTTGAGAAAATGAAGTTATACCAGGCCCTCATTCAGTTTAATTGTTTTTTACATTTGCTTTTCAGACCCCTCTTTAGTGCTGCGAGAGGAGCACTGACAGGCGGCTCTGTGAGTGTCCTGGGAAAGGGGGGAGGCCGATGGAAGCACCTTGTCATGTTCTGCTTCGTCTGCTTTGTTTTTGTTTTCAGCACCAGCTGGAGTGGAGGGCATGCCTCTTCAGTGGTGCACCTCTTTCTCGTTCCCAATCAAGTCTTGCAATGTATTTAAGGACTGCCAAGCTGCCTAGTCACTGTCATATTATTGACCTTGCTTGCTGTTTGCTAAAGAGAAATTTTCTAGATGCCTCATTCATTGTGATAGTTGCTCTTGTGTGTCTATAGTTTTCTTGTTTATTACGTATTTCTTGTTATTCTTGGATTATTTAAGTTTCGTGTATTTGAACTTTTGCCATTTTGTGTTGTGTGTTTTTGGGTATCAAAATTACTTTTTTGCAAGCGTTTTTTTCTTCAAATTGGCTTTGCTGGTTTGGCGTCACCAGCGCTTTATGTTTATACTTTGTCAGTCCTTTGTTTTTGTTAGGTTAATGCTGGTAATCTGATGCTAAGAACACATCAGGAATAGGAAGACTCAGGAGGCAGGCATGGTTGTCTTTCTTGCAAGAGAGAGCGCGCTAAAACATGTCTCGGTTCACAATCTCAGAGCAGCTCTCCAGCTGGCTCTGCAATGTAAACCGTTACAGGTTCCGGGGCAAATATGAAGGGAGAGAGTTTGTCTCCTTGCATTTATTGGAAGGATGTCCCTGATACACAATCTTCTAACGGGTGTGGGGAGGATTTTCACATTCCACGACAGTTTCAATAAAGGAGAGTTTCAATGAGAACACACAGTTCATTCCTGAGATGTCGTCAAACGGCTCCGACTGGATGTCGATGGTTCACGAACACAGCTTGCGATGTCCCTCTCATGGTGTCCTGGGTTGATGTTATCCTCTCACAGGCAACAGTTAATTTGACCAGAAGCCGTTCACTTAACAACAAGATATTGTCTTAAAAGCTAGAACAGGAGCAGCCTGAGCTCTCCCGGTCCGACAAGTCTACCATTATCAACCTACCCCATTGTATATGAGGTATTTGCGAGGTATCACTCTGAAACAGGTTTTAAAGTTACACAGAGAGTAAATATGGGATAACAGAATTACATTTATTCCAACAGTTTTTCTGTAAATTTTTTTTTTTTTTGCACCGTCATTTGTCTGAGTCTACATTTGTGGGATCCGCTTACCTTCTGGTCCATTTTCGGATTGTGTCAGAATAATCCGATAATGAATCCCATAGACCCAGAGAAACTCTGGGACGCTTTGGCCAGCCAAGGATGACTGATGGGACAGCAGGGGACCGCGATAAAGGAACTCTGCTCTGCTGGCTCACCAGATCGAGGAATTAGTCTCACGAGTAGTGCAGTTGGGTAACCGCGGGACACCCCCCTCGGATACCTGAGCTGCTATGGTTGAGATGCCCCCCGCCCCAATATTTGTTCAGGAGCCAAATTTGCCACACCCATCTCGCTATGATGGAGAGATCAGCCGTGCCAGGAACCAATCCCACACCTCATTCGAGTGGGCATGTACAGTACAGTACAGGCATGTCCAAAGCAAAGCCTCTGTATCACGTCAGCTCTTTGTTCGTCATGCAGGGAAACCCTCTCGCTCACGCATCAACATGAAACAACACGTGTTTCTGCGACATATCTGCAGATATGGCTGCATTTTATTTTATTTCATGAATTTTTGAAAAGAAAATAAACTTGAAACACAGAGGGCACAAAACTTGAAGCGCGAAGTGGTGAGGGATCACGCACAAAACTTGAAGCGCGAAGTGGTGAGGGATAATTGGTGATTGGATAATAAAAATGTAATTTCCTTCGGTACATGTTAAATAACATAATATTGATATTGCAATTTGCAACACCCATATCACATATTGCATGTTTTTCCAATATCATGCACCCCTACTTTGAATATATTAGAATGTATGGCATCTTTGTGTACCATTTCAGTATATCTAGGCTGGGCTGAATGTCTTGTTTTGGAAATCAAAATAAGGGCTGTGTTCAAATTCACAGGATGGGTCCCCCAATGGGCAAATTTTCGGCCGCATGACGGAACTGGATACGATACAAAACAATATCTCAGCGCATTCGGTTTTGTTTCTGTCTGGTTACATTTGGTTTTGATTCCTCATGTGCCCTTTTTTCACCACCTGTTGTCGTTATCAGTGTCCCTTGTGTGTAACCAATTAGCTCCTTCAACCCTTTGTCTTGTCCAGGTGTTTCTCATTGTTTCGTCACTTTGCTTGTATTTAGTTCCCCGAGTTCTGTCAGTCTTTGTTGGGTCAATGTGAGCTGTGAGTGTGAGCATACGTGTGCTCCTGTCATGTTCCTGTCTTAGTTTTGTTTGTTCCTTGTGATTTCCAGGCATTTTTTGAGTACTTCGACTTAGTGTTTTTCCATTGTACTCCTGTGTGTATTTTTTGTTAAATACATTTTGGTCCCTCCTCCCTGCCTCCCTGCTTTTTGGGGTCCTTCTCTGACTACCACCTCGCAAAACGTGACACATCCGCCATATTGATTGTGTCTGTTGTTTTCGACAGATAATCAAATAATATGTAAAATTAACGTAGAATGACATAATGTAATCGAAAGCAGTGGTTTGGTATTCATTATTTGAGTTTCTTCTTGATGATAAATCTCCAAGGACCAAATGAGCAAGCCATCTTCACAAATACCTTAACATTGCCACATCCAATATGGCTAATGCATCGGCGTACTTAATAAGCCGTCTACCTATACAGTATGTAGTGTAAATGTCTGTGATACTACTTGCCTGGGGTTGTCGCAAATGGCGCCATTTAAGATTATTGAATAGGAATGTTATGCGAATACTGTATATACAAATATATGGAGCAAAGTAAGTGCTGTCTGTAGGGGATTAATAATAATAGGGGTCACCCATGCATTTCATGTGCTGCCCCCCTTTAGGCTGGGTTTGGCAACGGGTCTGCCAGCCCGTCCACTGTATTGGAGAGGTGAAGGGATGGAAAAGCCATTTCCCCAATAGCCTTCTCTTTTATAGTGCATTAATTTGACCAACAGATGGTGCTGTTGATCTGTACTGTTTATGCATTAAAAACGGGCAGACTGCATCAGTGTGCCTTGCAGGCTAGGACAGTCATCCAGAGGAGACCCAGCCAAGAGGACGGAGACCTGACCCGGGGACTGAGTTCACCGACTGGCCTCACCGAAGTACCCCAGCGGGCCCCCAAGCAAATACTACCCTACCACACACCAGTCGGGAACATTCTCGGGACCCCTTAAAAAACACCAGTTGTACTGTCTCTGCTGCTATTGTTTGGATCTGTCTTGTCAATTGATTAATTTTTTTAAGGCGGGAGGGGGGTATAAATTGGGGGCTTTTTGGTCATATTGGGGCTTCTAAAAAAGTGGTTACTTCGCCGAAACAATACAAACACGACAGTTGCCACAGCCTCTCCACCACCTGTATCAATGTATGCTTTTTGATCATCTGAAAACCATCAATTCGATGCTTCTTTTCATGAAAATTTGCATAATTTGGAAGAAAACTCTTGGCAATACAGCAATTCATCAGTCCTGTCAGTTTTTCTGTCGGTGGGTCTTCAACTTCCTCGTTTGTGAGTGGTGCTTCCTCTTTCGCTTACTAGCATGAATGTTTTTCGGGGTGAGGCTTCAAAAAGAGTTTGGTAACGGTTAACATCGACACATTATAAAATAATCTCACAGAACAGACATTTAAAACGGAGCGGCCTGTCTCTGACCAGTTAAGTTTGGTTTCAGATTCGAATCGTTGTGTGGGGCTGCTGAGACTTGCACAAGATGGGTGAGTACAAGAGAGAATGTTATTTACTTGTTCCAATTCAACAACTCATCATGATTTTCTGTCTCTTTGCAGCAGTTGTGTGTTCATTGATGGATGCTTGACAAGTGTGTGGTGTTTGTAGTTGTGGCAATATCTGTCGATGTAGTTTCGATGCTGTCTGCTTGAGTCTATTTTTTATGCGTTGGAAATGTTGGGAGACACGAGCACCCTGTCTTGGAGGAGCATGTCTCCCACCGGCCAACCCAAGACCCCAGACATGTCCCCCACAGCGATGATTGGCAGCAACAGCATCTTCCCGGTGAAGATTATCAAAGTGTGTTTCCTCAGCAACAGCTTCAACCTCGGCAAGAACTTCAAATTGGTCCGCTGCAATGAAGGAATGGCAGTCAAGGTAATTTAAAACTACTATGCTAACTAATACTACTGCAGTTTTGTTCTGTGTTGTGGGGTTCTGTTCGGACTTCTGTGCCTCTTGGAAGGATCCAGCACCCTATTTTAAGCCCATTTCTGATAGCCATCATACATTACATTATTGATTATCACTCAAGGGCGGTCAAGTGGTCAGCGCGTCGACCTCACAGTGCAGAGGTACCGGCTCCGGCCTTCCTGTGTGGAGTTTGCATGTTCTTCCAGGCCTGCGTGGGTTTTCTCCGGGTACTCCTGTTTCCTCCCACATCCAAAAACATGCATGGCAGGCTGATTGGACACTCTAAATTGTCCGTAGTTGTGAGTGTGAGCGTGGATAGTTGTTCGTCTCTGTGTGCCCTGCGTTCGGCTGGCAACGGGTTCACGGTGTACCCCGCCTACTGCCCGAAGACAGCTGGGATAGGCTCCAGGCCGGCCCACGACCCTTGTGAGGATAAAGCGGATTGGAAAATGGATGGATGGATGGATTATCATTCAATTCCTGGACAGACACATGTGAAAGACTAACATTCACACAAACTCCATACAAAAAGGCCTTTGCCAAGTTTGTTGCTCAAAGGGACCAACACTAACCAGTTATTTGCAGTGTACTGCTAACATTGACATTTACAATGCTTAAAAAATTGTAGTGATAATGGAAGTGATCAAAATCATTCAAGCAGGCAGCACAGTGAACTCGTCGAAGCACGTCTCTCACTGTTGTGAGATTTGAGGTTCTCTTTTTCTGTGGTGGAATTGAGTGAGTCTGGGGCTTGGGAAGTCATGAGCATAATTATAAAAATTGGTGAGTTTTCAGAGATGTTGACACGAAAAATGGCAATTCATCATTAATAACAATAGTAAACAGCAAGTTGAAGAGGGGCATGTTGTTCTTGTGGTTAGCAGTGTTGCCAGAGTTACCTTGAAAAATTAAATCGCTTTATAACTCTTTTGAATGATTTTTGTCTTCTTTTTAAGCTTGAATGTGATCCTTTTTGTGGGGGGGGGTCATAGTTTTATTAGTATTATTATATTGATACACCTATACAACTATTATATCATCGACAGCACAGAGTGTGCAATAAATCCTAATATGTTTGTTTTTAGCTGGCACAAACTCAAAATAGTGACTGTATACTATTTCCAGTTTGAAAACACAAGTCTCTTTTCTTCCTCAATTGCTCTTTATGGAACACGTAAGTCGTCAATGCGCTCCAGACGTGACACAATGCTTACATGATGTCCCGGGTTCTAAATTAACTTTTTTGATCACTGGTGACTCTCTGAAGTTACCAGTCAACCAGAATATCCATGAGGCAAATTTCTTTTTAAACTTTAGCTGTGCTGTTTATATCGACCTCACTCACAGTATCACTGTTGGTTTCTCGCACCGGTTGCAATCATTCTGGGCTGTGGCATGAAACACCAGCATTTGTGCACCCAATGGATGTATTCAACATCATTACGTCGCATTAATGTGCAGTATTATTGGGAATTTAGGAGTCAATGCCTGGCGTGAACGACTGAACGTGAACGCTGAGAACAATACATATCTAATCTGACCAACATTAGGGATAGACTGAAAAAAGAGAAAATGATCGAAATGGCTCACCTCTTCAGGGCGGACAGTGACCGGCAAGGGATCGGAATTGTCATCTGTAGGACCATGGGCCCCAAGTTGGGGCCCCCAACGTAATGTTTACTACATATGAAGGTGAAAGGTTTCAACTTACTGGCATTAATTTCGTCTTTTGGACGTACACACAAGTTAACTTAGCGTTCACATTTATCCCTCTGAGTTTTTGGTTATGGGAAACAAATAAAAAAAAATGCATCCTTCAAATGTGGAAGATAGTAGTATCTGAAGTCATTTCTGCAAGTTCCATAGCAGCAGAGTTTACTTGGCATGTTTTTTTTCCTGAGATAAATGGGCAGAAAACAAACAGTCGTTGTATGAGTCGTCTGCGAGAATGCTTCTATATTGCCCTTCTTCCGGTTCACGGCGTGACGTCACACTGCCTTGCGGTCGAAAAAATAGCACTCGTGCGACACGCTATTGTTTGCTAGTCTCTTGGGATAAAATGGACGCAGTTGTCTCCTGTATTTTCGGCCAAAGCGGCTAATAAATTTTTGCCCACAAAAAAATAAATTTTCATTTGGTGTATTGGCAGGTGTTAATTTAAAACCCCGATTGATGTTACTCCCTCAGACGGGGATGTGAATTTGAATACTCCCAACAATCCGTTTCCCTATGTTCAAGGTGTCAATACTCCTCCATTTTTATTATTCATTAACTGCCCGTTTTTCTAAATGCACAATACATGCACAAGAGAGCACTACAGCTGAGAAGTATGCGCTGTTTAAGTCTGGTCAATTCTTTCACATTGCGACAATTCACAGCCGGTCAACTGCAACTGCCTTTAATGGTGACATTTGAAGAGTAAATGTCATCTGATTACTTGACTGTAAAAAGGAATGTGTTAGATTATTCGTAACTCGAAAAAGTGACTTTGGAGTAACTAGTTGGGTAGCGCATTTCTGAGGCTTGGGGTTTTCCAATACAGGCTCTGCCCTTCCTGTGTGGCGTTTGCATGTTCCCCTTGTACTTGCGTGGGTTTTATTATGCCTCTGTGTTTTTTTTCAGACATTGAAAAATATGGTTCACTGTAGACTCAAACGCTAACGGTGTAGTGGTATACTCGCCTTACTTCCACCCAAAGTCAGCCGGGATAGGTTCCCGCAACGGCGACCCTGTTGCCCACGATCCTGTTCAGGATTGTCACGTTACGCACGAAGCAGGAAAAGAACCACTTTGTGCGTAACAGAAAAAAGTGAGAATAAGTGGATCACCGAAATAGCAGACACTGACAAAGGACTCTGTCTCAAAATAATATTTATTACCAACGAAAAACTCCGCCTAATAGAAAAACAGAAAACGCTGGTAAATAACAAGAACCAGGAAATAATGAAAACGCGACAACAGAAAGCGCTTGCAAAAAACGGCAAGGAAAAATATGTAGACGAATACTGGATAAAGCACGCACTTAAAAATAGTCTTCAATAAGACCACGAAAATGTAACAATCAGCGATAGTATACGAGTAACGTTTGAATCAATGGGCAACAGCAGTGGCACGGCATGCAATACTCCGGCAATGAGTCGAAAACCGGAGTGCATAGATATAGCAGGTGTAATCATTGGCAAATAGGCAGCAGGTGTGCAGGCAGCAGAATGAACGCCTGCCACCTGCTGCCAAATACGGAACATGACAAGGATAAGCGGTGTTGAAAATGGATGGACGGATGGATGGATGGACATTTGGGTAGCACGGTTGTCGACTGGTTAGCACGTTGGCCTGACTGTGAGTGCAGAGGTGCAGGGTTCTATTTCGGCTCTGGCCCTCCTGTGTGGAGTTGGCATGTTCTCCACGTGCCTGCGTGGGTTTTTTCTGGGTACTCTGGTTTCCTCCACATTCCCAAAAACATGCATGGCAGAATAATGGAACACTCTAAAATTTAGAGTCTAAATTGTCCCTAGGTGTGACTGTGAGAGCGAATGGTTGTTCGTCAATGTGTGCCCTGCGATTGGCTGGAAACCAGTTCAGGGTGTCCCCCGCCTACTGCCCGAAGACATCTGGGATCGGCTCCAGCACGCCCGCGACCCTTGTGATGATAAGCGGATCAGAAAATGGATGGATGGATGAAGACTCAAATTGTCCTAAGTTGTGAATGGCTGTTTTCTTATATGTGCCATGCAATTGACTGACGTCCAGCCCAGGGTGTGCCCTGCCTCTCCCCCAAAGTCAGCTCGGAGAGGCTCCAGCATACCTCAGACCCCCACAAGTAAAAGCAGTGGATTCAGTTGTGTTGAGTATAACTTAAGGGAGAGTCAAACTACTATGTGTTTGGGGCTTTGCCTAGTTGAGGTACTGTACATCATGATATATGACCAAGTCTTCAGCTTCACAACACCATCTTCTGTCATAGGATGTCATCAACATTGTCCTGTCGGGTGGCTGCGTGGGTCCTGGCATAAAACACACCCAGTGCTACGGGCTCCTCCTCAAACACCTCAAGTCGTCCGAGATACACTGGCTGCACCCGGACCTGACAATGACTGAACTCACCCAGCGTTACGAGCAGCAGCACCTGGAGGCTGAGTGGAGGTCTGCATGCCGTGCTGATTGTGGTGCAGTTTAAGTGCTTGAAATGAAACGAGGCAATGTTACTGTGAATGTTACTTTTCCAGATATGACTTAAGGATCAGATACATTCCATCAAACTTCTTAGCAAAATTCCAAGAGGACAGAACCACCATGCTCTACTTTTACCAGCAGGTCCGTTATGTTGTTGTTTGAAAGGCTTGTATTGACTTGAAAAGATACAATGGTTTTAACGTATGTTGTGTGTTTGCAGGTACGCAGCGACTATATGCAGCGGTTTGCCTCAAAAGTCAGTGATGGGATGGCTCTCCAGCTTGGTTGCCTGGAGATTAGGTAGTGGATACTCCCAAATTCACACCTCTGTATTGTTATCGGAAAAAAATCCCTGCCTGCTCTTTTGTTGTGTTGGCAGGAGATTCTACAAAGACATGAATCCAAACGGACTGGAGAAAAAGTCCAACTTTGAGCTGTTAGAGTAAGTCAGCGCCTTGTGTACAAAGTACCACCTCTGACAATATGTCATCGAACACACGCATCACGTTCAGAGACAACCTGAGTTCCTGGAGCGGAGACATTTTTCTTTGAAACCTCATACAGAAGTCTTGGCTCCCATTTTCTGTCCACCGCCAGTGGCCACAAGTCTAGTCTTGGCTGTCCGTTTAAAATACCCTCACTTAGACTCACATGTTTGCAAATGGTCCTCATCATTTAGAGAAGGGGTGGGCAAATCTTTGTACTCAAGGGCCACATTTTATTTTTAAACTGGATTGATGGAATCACTAGAGATGGATTGAGTTATATGCAAAAAAATGTAAAATTGTCAATGTCAGACTAATTGCTCACGCAGTTGTTCACAAAGTGGTGAACTTCACCTCATCCTTGCTTGTGAACAGCTGAGCCGTTTTATACCCATTTACAGTGTAGAGTTATGAATGGGTATAAAACCCTGTTTCCAGTTAACGGCAATTGGCAGCAATTTTCCTGGCCTTTTGTTGACCTGTCCCAGTTTTTTGTGAATGTGTTGTCATCTTCAAACTCAAAATAAGAGAATAAAAACAAAACCCCACAACAACGTTGTGAATGAACATATTGCCTCTATAGTGTATTTAATTGAATATATGTTGAAAATGATTTCCAAATCACCGTGGTTTTTTTCACAGCATCCCAAATTAATTGGATTTGGTGTAATCTGTGACCACCAAGATTTTTGGTTTATTATGATATGACTTTTGTCCATTAGGAAGGAAGTTGGACTGGACTTGTTCTTTCCGAAAGAGCTTATCAACAGCATGAAGGTAGAGGTCCATCTCTCACACATTCTATGGGGGCGTATGTCACCTGAAACCGATTTGTGACTTTTTTTATTTTTTTTACTTAATGAACGTCAGCCGAAACAACTGCGTCGAATGATCCGGCAGACATTTCAAGGCTACGGCACTCTGAACCAAGAGCAGTGCATGGTCAAGTTCTTCAGCACTCTGGCTCAGTGTTACAGCTTTACTCAGGAGAGATTTGCCTGCCAGCTGGTGGTGAGTCGTGGGGAATGGAAATTAGACATAATTTCCATAAGTTATACATTTGTGACATAGATTTATCCACCACAGCATTTGGTACACCTATATCAGTTGTTGGATCAAAACTTCAACCCTTGCAAAAATCAGCCTCCAGGAGAGAAACCCAACCACCTACAGGGAGAACAGGCAAACTCCACACAGGAAAGCCTGAGCCCCTGTACTCTGAGGCGCACGTGCTATATGTAGGCCGAAATGAACCTGCAGCGCCTTCCACAATTTAACATGTGTCCAAATAAACCTTGCCAAACAACTTCCTTGTCCATTTGGGACCTGTGTCAGGTCAATTTTCCAACGCCTTTCCAGTCATCCAGTGGAGGTGGCATGGCTCAGTGGTAGAGTGGTTTTTCTCCAAAGCCAGCGGTTGGGGGTTTCATCCCCGGCCATTGCAGCCATGTCAAAGTGTCCTTGAGCAAGATGCCAAACCTTCTACTCGCTCTAATGTTTCCATTCTTCATGTCATTTTATTTGCCACACCCTTGACTCGTCAGACAAGGGATAGGCATGTAGAGTATCGCAAAGCGCAAAATTAAAATAGAAGAAGAGAGGGTACTGTGGGCTCATGTGAAGTCCCCGTTCGCCACAAGGCCAAAATTGAGAAGTGCCGGTACTTCCGTATTGGTGCGTTTTGGTCCACTTAATGCACTGAACACTGCTGCTAACCACAGCAGTATTTTTGTTAATACAATAATTTTTGTACACATTCCTTCATATTCCTTCTGCGTTCCCTTTATCTCTGTTTTTGAGAAACAAAACATACCAGCTACATGGCAAAGTTGTAATTTTTTGGGAAGGATTCGTTAATCACCGTTTGGTTTAAATGTATGAATAGTATCTTAGCTTGTGGCTGCTGAGTGTTGGGTAAAAACCTTTAGTACTAGTTCATGGAATGAACTTTTTTAGACCATTGGCCCATTTTTGCAAGTTCTGGTCTGTGCTGCAGTATATTCTCACATGCACGATAGATTGTTGTATGGGACTGTGTGCTTCCCTTCAGCATGGTTGGCGTGTAACAATCGACCTGGTCATTGGATCTGAAGGTATCAGTCAGCAAACTGACAATTCAACAGTAAGCGCGCACTCTTTAAAGAAAATACATTCACATTCGCTATTATCATACATCTTGCCGAAATAAAGATTATTTTTCTTTTTTGTTTTTTAGCCCGTCCTCCTGGCCACATTCTCCCAGGTGAATAGTATCTTGTTCTCTGCTGAGAGCCACGGCCGAGCTCTGCTCACCGTATACATAGAGGGAACTAAGCAGGTAACACGTACTCGGTGTTAAGTAATAGTGACATGTTTGCATAAAACACCACTGCAATGGTGGGAAATAATGAAGTCCAAATACTTTGTATTTGTACCGAAGTCGATTTTTCTGTTACTTTACTTGAGTATTTACTTTGTATTTTTATGATGTATTTTTACTCCCCGCCCCCTTTCATTTGAAAACAGACATCTGTGGTTTCTGCTCCTTACTATGTTAAAATAGGCCCTTTACATTTTTCAACTACTGCGGATGACATGATTTAAGAAAGACTTCAAGGTAAAGTCAACCGCGTCTGAAATCTGGGTTGATTGCGATCGTTGGGTTTTATAAGGTGGAAAAACAGCTACAGCAGTGAAATGGAGGAACAGGGAACATTGTCAACAACAGATTCAGGGCAGCAAGCTATTTCCCATCAGTAGCCTTATTTTACTCAGCCATGGTTTGTCAGCTACAAAAACTAATCATGGCGAAAGCATTGTGTCCTGTGCCACCTGAAAAACCACCACCTTGTGGCATTCAAAATTTCTCTGTCTAATCTGAAAAAAAATATACCAGTATTTTGTTGTTGTTTTTTTAATCATCAGCTAATTTTCACATTTTTGTTTTTCGGTTCACAACACAGTCGCCCCTTGTGGTTTGGCACCAATGGATATTTGCAGATTTTTTTTCAATATTTTCCCCTCCAAAAATGGTTGCCAGTACTGTAATATGATGGCATTACCCCCCGCCCCCACACCCCCACCCACCTTACCTTTCACCGAAAAAGTATTCTGAATGTTTATTGGCATTTTTTGAACGGTTTGGGGGGAAAAAGCATTTTCCTATTGCTTTTCAATGGCCATCAATTAGACATGGATTTTTGCTATTCAAGGACCAGCCCGGTCTCTATCTCCTGTGTCGGTTGTATTAGCAAAGCTATGGGAACTCGATGATGTAAACTATTTTGTGTGCTTAGTTTTTTGTTGTTGTGCCAAGTTATCAAATAATAATTGACTGAAAATTCATTTTTACATCTTACTTTTGCACTTCAGTACCAATCAGGGTCTGTACTTTTTAAATTTTACTTCTGCGCAGCAGTTGATTAACTAGTTGGAGTTTATTATCCGAGTGTCTGCACTTTTTAAATCCAGAATACAGTCATAACTCGGTTTTCGACCATAATCAGTTCCAGAAGGCTGTTCAAAAAGCGATTTGTTCGAAATCCGAAACTGTTTTATTAGCCCATGATTAGGGGCTATCAGCTAATTTTCACATTTTTGTTTTTCGGTTCACAACACAGTCGCCCCTTGTGGTTTGGCACCAATGGATATTTGCAGATTTTTTTTCAATATTTTCCCCTCCAAAAATGGTTGCCAGTACTGTAATATGATGGCATTCCCCCCCCCCCCTCCACACCCCCACCCACCTTACCTTTCACCGAAAAAGTATTCTGAATGTTTATTGGCATTTTTTGAACGGTTTGGGGGGAAAAAGCATTTTCCTATTGCTTTTCAATGGCCATCAATTAGACATGGATTTTTGCTATTCAAGGACCAGCCCGGTCTCTATCTCCTGTGTCGGTTGTATTAGCAAAGCTATGGGAACTCGATGATGTAAACTATTTTGTGTGCTTAGTTTTTTGTTGTTGTGCCAAGTTATCAAATAATAATTGACTGAAAATTCATTTTTACATCTTACTTTTGCACTTCAGTACCAATCAGGGTCTGTACTTTTTAAATTTTACTTCTGCGCAGCAGTTGATTAACTAGTTGGAGTTTATTATCCGAGTGTCTGCACTTTTTAAATCCAGAATACAGTCATAACTCGGTTTTCGACCATAATCAGTTCCAGAAGGCTGTTCAAAAAGCGATTTGTTCGAAATCCGAAACTGTTTTATTAGCCCATGATTAGGGGCTAATACACGATGCAGAAATAACAAAAAAACAGTCAGACACGTCTGCTCATAATGAACGTAACACGAGGAAGCGTCACTCCTCATGTAAGGAAGCTGAGAGGAGTCGAGTGGCGTATTTGGGTTTGCTCAGTTTGGTCGAAAATCGGTTTTCGGTCGTAATCCGAGGCGTAAAGTCTTAAATTTTTTTGGTCGAAATCCGATTTGGTCGATAACAGAGACGTTTGAAAACCGAGGTTTGACTGTATAATCTTTTCATTTTTCTCTCAGAAAAACAAATGTTCCTCATATACTCTGCCAGTGTGACAGGACTTCGTGGGGACATAGCCAAAGTGCGCTGGCCATCTTGTGGTTTAGTTGTACACTAAATATACTTTTCCATCCCACAGCCCCTCTCAGTGAGTACAGAGTCTATGGCTGTAGCAGAAAACATGGCCAACCTAATTGATGGCTTCTGCCAGATAGAGCGCTCCCCTGAGGGCTCGCTCATTAACAGGCCTAGCAAAGGTATACATATTAGGCAGTGGCCTATAATGAAGAAGTCATTTCAAATGAACGCGTGTGACGCATCTGAGAAAACCATTTATCGTTTATTCTTACAGTGAGACTGAAACTGCCTGACATTCCAAAAGGGTGAGTTAAATTTTTATAGGCACCCTCAAAATTTGTAGTTGTCTTGACTTGACATCTCATCTCAATAAATGTTTCATCTCATTCAGCAATGATTCAACTGGACCAAATAGAGGTTTGACTAAGTTTAATACTAAACTTGAACACATGCAGTAAACTGTTATCCGTAAACATAGACGGGTACATTTTCAGCATTTCTCTCTTCTGTCTTCAGATTCAGACATTTATGCTGAGATTCCTGAGAGCCCGATAAGCCCTTGTGGTGAGTCAACCTTCACTGAGCCTAATAATCCCTGAAAATGTGGCATGATCATTAAAAAAATGTGTTTGTGCATTCAGAGAAGCAAAGGATCTCCCGAGCAAATGTAATTTTAGGTCAGATCCTGGGTGAGGGCTTTTTTGGAGAGGTTCATGAGGGTGTGTATAAAAGCCCGGTGAGTTGATCTTCGGTGGAATGACATCACTGCATAGCCTGCCCTGGGTGACCAAATCATTGGGGTGATTGTGTTTTGTGTCTAAAGACAGGCGACACAATCCAAGTGGCCATCAAAACCTGCAAGGACTGCTCAGCAGGCGTGAAGGAAAAATTTCTCAGTGAAGCTGGTCAGTTTGTTCATATTCACAGAAAACATCCATGCGTGCTTTTCCTGAAACAAATCGCATACATAAATGCCTGACAACGCGGATTGATTTGCAGACTTAATGAAAAATCTGGACCACCCCCACATTGTGCGCCTGATTGGAGTCATTCATGTTGATCCGGTCTGGATTGTCATGGAACTCTATCAACATGGAGAGGTATGCGTGCATTTTTAGAAATCGGTGCAGTGTTCCCTCACAAATTGCATGTTAATGCGGAAAGATCAAAACAAAATTTTGACGATGATCACAGCGTGTCATGGCGTGTTCTAGAATATATTTCCATGAAATATACCATGAAATTACGGTCATTCCCTCCTGAAGCTATGAGCAGTATAGAGATGCAGGTGTGGGCAAACCTTGGTGTTCAAAGGCCAGATTAGATTTTTTTTTTTAATAGAAACATATGCCAGGTTATTCTTAAATTGGTTTGTTAAAAGATGGAAACTTTTAAGTAAAATCATCTGTTTTTAAAAATAAAATCAAGATTTTTTAAAAAATTATTAATTGTATAATATACATTATAACAGGGCACTTGATAAGATAAATGCTCAGATTAAAGAACCAAAAGTGGCCCATGGGTCATATACCACCCACCCGAGACACCAATTATGTTACACGCTTTGCATCCATTTTCCAAACTGCTTATCCTCACAAGGGTCGCGGGTGTGCTCCAGCCTCTCCCAACTGTCTACAGGCAGTAGGCAGGGGACACCCTGAACTGGTTGCCAGCCAATCGCAGGGCAGACATAGATGAACAACCATCTGCACTCACACTCACACCAAAAGGGACAATTAAACTGCAGGGGTGTCAAACTCATTTCACATTGTGGGCCACATACGGCCTCGGTAGATGTCAAGTGGGCCGGACCATTAAAATGATACCATACTCTGCGATAAATAACCAAAATAATATGTCTTTCCTTTGTTTTGGTTTAAAAAAGCACAAGAATATGAGGAAAATGTTGAAATTTAATGAACAAAACATTTCATGAAGCACCTTAGATTTTCTTCGACAAATGTGCAATTTACTTTGATCATTCATATATATGCATTGCAACTGACACTGATTGTACCAAGGCACAAAACTTTAACAAGTAATTGGTAGTGAAAAATATAGTAATGCATTTTAAGATTAAACGAGATTTATAAAGAAAGGAATTTTTCAACCATTTACACATATGCATATAACATCAAAATGTAATCCCTGCCTACACCTTATAAACTAAGGAGAGCGCTATTAAATGTGTAAAGAATAAAGTTTTCTTGTCCTTGATCGCGTCTGGTGTGTTGGGTCTGTCTCAGTGACAGACTGAGGCTGCCGTTGTCTTCTTCTCTGATCAAAACAATGTTGTCTTCTACTCTGATCAAAACAGTGTGTCCCCTAGCGGATACTCCATGAATCGCACCTCATTAAAAATATTCATTCCGTGTCTTTTATGCATTTTTTCACTTTTAAATGATCCTGCGGGCCTGATTGAACCTCCTTGGGGGCCAGTTCCGGCCTGCGCGCCATATGTTCGATACCCCTGATTTAGAGTGTTCCGATAACCTACCATGCATGTTTTTGGAATGTGGGAGTACCCGGAGAAAATCCACGCAAACACGGAGAGAACATGCAAACTCCACACAGGGAGGCAGGAGCCGGAATCGAACCCCGCACATCTGCACTGTGAGACCACATGACGACCACGCCCCCCCCCCCCCCCCATTCTAAACAGCCAAAAATTTACACTTAGTCGAGAATAAAATATTCTGAGTAAATTTTACATTGATACAAATTTGAAGTGACATTTAACTAGCAGATTTTTTTCATTCAGAAATTGTAACTACATTTTACCAAAAGAATCAATGAGTAAATTTTATTTGTATGGTATCAATTTATGAAAAAAAGCTTACTCAAGGGTTGAGCAAACGAACCCAAAACCTTCAGGTTGGGAGAGAGCCACACTATCACCTGAGCCTTGCCGCTCCGACTGTGAGTTAGTAAATCGCAGGTGTCAGGTGGAATACTTGTACAGTATCTCCAAAAAGAGACCTAAGTATTTGGGGTCTGTCTCCTTTTGGAGACAGCTGCTATTTATCAGAATCAGATTTATTGACCAACTATGGAAAACACACAAGGAATTTACATTGCCAGTTACAACTCGTCCAGAGAAACATAAACAAAACAATGACCAACAGAGGGACACAGAACGGGAAGCCTGGCTGTTTGCTATTAAGCGCCTCGATATCTTATATGTGAAAAGAAAACAAGAGGGAAGAGGAGGGAAAAAATACCAAACAGACTGCAAACATTCTCCTGAAATGGTTTGAACCTAAAAATTCACATATTTTAAAGGACATGTAGAACAAATCTCGAGACTTAACAGTGAACGAGGAGGCTGGACGGGGAAAGAGGGGGGAACGTGTCACAACCAGTCCGACTTGCTGCTCAGATAGGAGCGTTCTGTCAGTCATGTTACGACACGGTGCGGGAGCAAATAGGAATCCAACGAAGGCGTTGACATTTCAGGGCACAACGTTGCATGTTATTGGCATTTGTTTGTGTGAATGTGTGTCAAGTATCCACAGCTGCAAGGGCAAGCCTTATCAGTCTTGGCCTCGGGAAGGAGGGGTAAGGCGATGATAAGCGGATTCTTCCATCCATCCATTCATTTTCTAATCCGCTTATCCTCACAAGGCTCGCGGGCGTGCTGGAGCCTATCCCAGCTGTATTCGGGCAGTAGGCGGGGTAACTTTTTGCTGACCAATTGCAAAGGACATATAGACGCAGGGGACAGTCCAGACAACAGTTGTTTTGGGAATAGGCCATCCACAATTTCAGACAGCCTTGAAGGTTTTTTAGCTTGTGACTCTCAATGGGGTCATTTATTTGAATCCTCGATCAATCAACCAATTTTTCCAGGCCGGGCCAAGTGCTCCTCGTTTTTTTTCCATTTCGTGAAGCGACTCCAACAGCACATCCACTTTGCAATTGAGTTTTATCAATGCATGAGTCTGAATGTTGATTACCCACCCCACACCATATCTAGAAAGGCAGGAAGCTTGTTCCCTTCTAATGAAGCAGCTCCCATAGGGTGAATTTTGCGATGGATTTCAATGGTCACTCCTATTAGTTGGGCCACATCTACTCAGAAATCAGTTTCTACAGTACCCACCTAAATTAATTGCAAGTCAATGAGTTCCTTTATGATTGTCTGTGTTTATGGTGTCAGCTGGGGAACTATCTGAAGGAGCAGAAATCTACCCTGACAACAGCAACATTAATACTGTACTGTCTACAAATCTGCAAAGCCTTATCTTACCTGGAGGGCCTCAACATGGTGCACAGGTATGGGCAGATAATCTTTTTTTCTCTTCATGTGCCATCTTTAACTTTGCTGTGCGTTCTCCCATGCTTATGTAGAGATATAGCAGTGAGAAACATCCTTGTGGCATCTCCTGACTGTGTCAAACTTGGTGACTTTGGTCTCTCTCGTTACATAGATGATCAGGAGTACTATAAAGGTACGCACACATTCATGAGTGCAAAGATTCTTGGTGCCAGTTCATTATCTAATGGAATGTATCTCCTTGATTATGCAGCATCCGTTTCAAGAATGCCAATCAAATGGATGGCCCCAGAATCCATCAACTTCCGACGGTTCACCATTGCCAGCGATGTCTGGATGTTTGGTTAGAAACCCCCTCATACAAGTCTTATCTATAAACACAAATACAAATACATTTACTGGATATGTCATTCTGTGCTAAATCGGTATGAAAATCCCACATCACCAAAATGATCATTGTTAACAGCATCATCACAGTACTGCTAAAACACTTAAAAAAAAACAAAATCTTCTCTGAATTCAAACAGCATGACACCAGTAACTCGATGCACTTTGCACAACAGCAGCAACCAAAAAGAATTGTCATGCATGCAAGATCCCCTCCCTGAGCTGTCACCCACTGTGGCACTGATGTTTGTGTGTTCCAATGATTCGAGGAGTTACTGTAAGTTATCTGCAGCTTTATGCATGGCAAACGGGTCACCGGTGAGGGACCAGACAAATCACGGCTCAAAGATCCCCTACGACGAACATAATATATGGACATAATTTTCCCTCGCCCAGATGCGGGTCCCCGTGGTCTCTCTTTGGACCCAGGACTGGACGTGACTAGCACCTGGTTGCCAGGCCTACTCCGATGGGGCCCAGCTGGCCACAGCTTGAAGACGCAACATGGGCCCCCTTACCCATGTGCTCACCATCTATGAGGGAGGCCAAGAGGGTCGGTTTTATAGTAACGTGCATGGTGGCTGAAGGCGGAAGACATGGCGGTCGGGAAGTTAAATGGTAGATGGGCTGTCACTTGTGTAGCTCTTTTCTGGCAGCGTTTCACACCGTTACTTCATTTACCTACTGATGACGCAGTATCAGGAGCAACTGGGGGTTGAGTATCTTACTCAAGGACTCTTCCGACATGGCCGCAATGGCCGGGGATTGAACCACCAACCTCTGGATTGGGAACAACCACTTTATTACCGAGCCATGATGCCTTATAAGTATCAGTCAGGCTCACGTCAACACATAGCTTGAGCCCTGGTACCAGTCCTCTTGAGAGAGAATGGACTCAACTCCACTCTGGAACTGCCCATGGTGAGAAGTGCCGAAAAGTGTGGCCATACTTATTTACAGTGAACAAGAGGCTAGCATCCCTCCGCCTTCAGGTGAGGGGAATGTATGACAGTGGAGGGAGGTGTGGAGCTGTCAACTTATCACCTGCTGGTAGTATGTTGGCTCGATAGTGGGGAAAGCTGCTGCATCGACCCGGCAGATCTAAATGTATTGTAAGCCTCTGCTGTCTTTCAGAGACCCCTATCAGAAAAAATTTCAACTCCCACCTCCAGCAGAACTAGAAACCCGTGTCCCAGGGGGAGGCGAGGGTCATTGAGTCCCAGTGGATGATGTTCTGCATCTCCATTGTTGAGACGACCGACCGGAGCTGCGGCCATAAGATGATCAGTGCCTTTAGTGGTGGCAATTCCTGAGCCTCTTTGCTGGTCGTTGAGGTGAAAACTCAGGCATGGAAGGGGTTTGGTGAGTTCATGGATATGACTTCTGGATGGCTTTGAAGAAATTCTGGTCCACCATCCAGCGTCTCAGAAGAGAAAGCAGTGCCCTATCAACACTGTGTATAGTGAGGATGGGGCGGTGCTGACCTCAACTCAGGACATTGTGAGTCATGGGCCGACTATTTCATCCTCATATATTGCATGACACACTTTCCCACGAGAAAGCAGAATCTGGGGACGTTAAGACGGGCTCTCCTATCTCTGGGGCTGAGGTCAGTGAGATGTTTAAAAAGCTCCTTGGTGGCAGGGCAGGGCCCGGGTTTGGATGAAATCCACCTGGAGTTCCTGAAGGCTCTGGATGTTGTGGGGCTGTCCTGATTGACATGCCTCTGTAACATCGTATCATCATCATATATCTGGCAGTGGCAGAAGCATACCACATGGTGATGGGGGAGGTGAGGATGGACTTGATGATGGCCATGTAGAACTGCACCAATACCTTGATAGGGAGGTTGAGTTATCTCAGCTGCTGCCGGAAGAACATCTTCAGCTGAGCCATTTTGATGAAGGAGCTGATGGTCGACTTCCACCTGAGCTCTCGGGTGATGGTGGGGCCCGGGAAGCACAAGGACTCCAAGATGGAGATGGAGGAGTCTGTGGGGGTGAGGAGCCACCATGGGGGTGTGACTTTCCATCTCCTTTGTTTTGTGGGTGTTCAGTTCCAGTTTGTTGTGATTGCACTAGGACACCAGCCGCTGCACCTCACAAATGTCGACAGACTCATCACCATTTGAGATAAGCCTGATGAGGTTCGTGTGCTTCACAAACTTGATCAGTGTTTGGCCTGAGCCATGGCACTGAGGGGCTCTGTTGCTTTGACAGGGCCTGTGGGGATGTTGGGGATCATGGTGATGGTGTATGCGAGATGTGGGAGTCTCCAGAGACGGGGGGTAATTTGGGCATTGTTGGTAATTTGCCACATGCTACATTTAGACCAAAGATGAAATGGCGCTTTGCTCCCCGTGACTCGCATAAATGAAGGCCCAATCAATGTTTTGATGTCACCTGCCTTCCTAAAATGGCGTCGTGCATTAAAATTAACCAAGGGGATGGTGGCCAAGACTGGACATAAACGATGGGAACACGAGATATTTATTAAACTTTACAATATTAATCAGTTTCCCTATCAATAACTTGAAATGGGCCATCAAAGGTACACTTTAATAAACAATTTATTCTTGGCTAGTTTGTGTGTCCCAGCGTGTAGGAAAAAAAAGCATTGTTTGAGAATGCAGCCTTTTTCCAGTCAGAGCCCCTGCAGAACCCTCGACACATGTCGACCAAAATGCCTTGTGTTTGCGTCCAAAAAGGTGTGTGCGTGTGGGAGATCTTTTCCATGGGCCAACAACCATTCCTCTGGCTTGAAAACGGACAGGTGATCACCCAGCTGGAGTCCGGCGTCCGACTTCCCAAGCCACTGTTGTGCCCGCCCACTCTTTACTCTATGCTGACCAGCTGCTGGGCCTATGAGCCGTACATCCGTCCCAGCTTCCGCCAGCTCGTCTGCTCCCTGAGGTACTCAGCTTCTTAATACACACCCTTTGGGGGCAAAGCTGTATTACCCGTACCTTTTAAGGGGATATTATGGAAAACCCAAGGTCCATCCCACTGGTTGTCATTCTAACTATGGCCGGACTCACCTTTGGCCCAGCACCATATGGGGCAGGATGAGAGCTTGCTTACTGCATTAGATAGAGCCACCTCCAAAAGCAACCTAAGGCCAGCATGAAAAAACATACGCTGTAAAAATCTGTACGGTATGGAATGCTTGATTCATGAATAATTTCCAAAGGCTGTTATTAAGGCTGTTATTATCATGTTATTAAGACACGGCAGCTTTTGTAAACTGTGAAAAAAAATGCATGTCTTCTCTAAATGACCGAATGTGAATTGTAAAGACAAATTGTTTGACACTGACTGTGCTTTGATAAAAGGGACATTCTCAAAATGGAGGAGGCAGATTCACCACACCGCATCTCGTCCAGCTCGCCACTGGGCCATGACCACACCGAGCCTCCCCCAAAGGTGCTGTAGAGTCACGTGAAGGCACAATTACTTCTCGCGGTTCTTTAACTACTAACACAGCATCTCACGTGATGTCTGATCAGCCTTCCAGAGTGCGACCCACCAGCCCCCTCGTCTCGCACAGTCAGGTTCGCTTCAAACGTGTCCATAAATTGCAGTGCATTGCTGACTCACACATTGTGTCACGCACGTATTGTAAATTGAGCAAAAACAGCTCACGTTGTGTCAAAAATAGCTTATATTTGTGTGGTTGCACGCGTGTGTATGAGCGTGTGTTTGTCTTTGTAGGGAACAGCCTGGGACGCGCCACTTTGGGAGAAACGGCAAGAAAACGTTGACGGCACTCTACGAAGGCAAAAAAGAGAGATGGCGATGGATAGTCAGTGGCTGGAGCAGGAGGAGCAACAACTGGTGATGCACCCAAAATACGTACGCACGCACGTACAGTATGCACACACATGCGATAACATGAATGGTGTGTTTGTCTTGCAGGATCCTGCTGTGCGACAAGCTTCAAATACAAAGGTGCAATATTTGTTTCTCATTCTCCAGCTCGACACTGATGTAGGCATTTGCATAATGAATTAGTGTTCAACAGGTGAACCTATTAAAATTCAAGTGCCCCCTCTCTCATTTAACATTTTAAACAATTCAAGCTGCTCTGCAAAAAAAACACTAAATCGTGACCATACCCTTTTTAATTTGCAGCTTCCAGAAAAAAATGCAGCTGACTGTAAGTTGCCTCGGAGTTGGTACACTTTCAAGTTAAACTTCACAAATGGTAATCGGGAGGTGGCTAAATCAAATAACCCCTGATGTTTTTAAGGTTCTCCCCCAACATCCCCAGTGACGCCTGAGATCACATTGGTAATATCATAATCTTCTATTCTGTTGGGCCGATGATTGAATCAAATTTGTATTCTTTTACTCAGGTGAGTAGACAATTCCAACAGAATAGTTGTGTTCTAGTCTTGTCCCACAGCTGAATTGGATCGATCGGATGATCAGGTTTACTCCGGCGTCATGGCGATAGTCAGACAAGTGGTCCAGCTGAAGAATGAGGTCAACATGCTGCCGGCCTCAGAGTACCCCAACGCTGTCAAAGTAAGTGCTCCGTCTTTGTGTCTTTTTACTTTTGATGTAACCTGGAGCCCCCCCCCCCCGACCCCACTCTCTATTGGCCCCCCTCCTCCTCGTCACTATGCAGGCAGTTGGCGTCACTCTGCGAAGCCTCATTCAACACGTTGATGATATCCTGCCTTCCCTGCACGGCTCAATTACAAACGAGGTATTGTCCCTTTTGGTATCCTGTCTTGTCCAGGGAAACCAAGACAACAAGTATTATAAAACAATGATGAGATTTATTCAAGAAAGAAAAAAGAAAAGAAAAAAAACATGGAGAGACACCGTTCACAGATCTGTCAAGGGAGCCTTCTCCCTCTCCGCGTCTTGCGCTCTCATTTTATCTTGTTGGGAGATGGTGACGGTCAGCATTAAGCATTTTGAGCAGCTACACAGAGTGCAGACTAGTGCATGAGCAGGCAACTTTGCTTAGCCGCAAAATAACTGGTAAGCATTCAAAGATACAAACACTTATATTTTTTGCTCAATTAGATGTCAAAATCCCATTACAATTCCTTCTGCCTACCGTCTAACTGCAGCCATCAGCCAACACCACCAGTTGTCCACTCACATTCCTGTTACGAGCACATTTCAAAGATATCTTTTTGTAAAATGACCATATTCAGACCTGTTTTGAATTTGTTTTTGTGCTGTCTCAGATCGTAGGCACAAAGAAGCTGCTGAACAAGGATTTAGGGGAGTTGATCAATAAAATGAGATTGGCCCAGCAGAACTCAGTGACAACACTGAAACAGGAGTGCCAACGACAGATGCTGGCTGCCGCACACACCCTGGCACTGAACTCCAAGAACCTGCTGGATGCGGTGGACCAGGCCCGCGTCAGGTTGAGACAAGATGAGGACAGCTCGGGGCATTAAGGGGTATTCTGTTATTTGTTTTAGTGTAGACGATGTGGCACATGCATACAAAACCGAAATATGTAATGGAGAAATATAACATTTGTCTGAACTGGACTCTTGTGCTTGTTCAAAAGTTCAAAAAGGAAAAAAAAAAACCAATTGATGAAGGCTGTGCCGAAAGGTAATCTGAATGTCAGATTAAAGATAATTTCTTCATCTGCTATAGGGTGGGCTATGTTGGTTTTTGCATTTCAGAATTGGACATCTGCCACATGACCACAAAATTTACATTCACAAAGCCTTGTGTGTGTTTTTGTCATCTCGCTCAAATAGGATAGGACCGGAAGGGAAATGTCCTCTGCAAAAACGAGAATTTGAAGAGGCGCTACTGTATGTCTCCTGGCTGTCTTGAAAACGCTTAAGATCCCTCAGGAGGAGTTGGATAACATGGCGGGGGAAAGCAAGTCTGCTTTATTTACTGCCCCATGACCAGAACTTGGATCAGTGGAAGAGCATATGGAGAACAATTCTATATTTCTGTAAATTTCTAGATTGTAAGAAAGGGACAGGACTAGATAATCTTAAATGCTTCTTCCTGCCTGTTCCTCCTAAACACACCAGTTTAACATATTTGAGTATTAGTTATCGTTTTTTTGTTTTTTTTATTATTTTCCATTGCACTGGTTAACCTGTTTTTTGTTTTAATAAACGACCTGTGCAGAATCATGTGTCTCTAAGGTTAAAAAAAAAAAAAAAACAGGATGCAAAGGCCGCGTTCAGAAATTCACTGATGCCCGTGCACTACTCTGACATTGGTTGTGTCCAATTGCACAGGACGGATCTTCCTCATGGTCGCTTGACGCCACTTCCAGCGCGATTTGACTGCACGCGGTGTCCAAATTCGCCACGGTTTAAGCGGTCCACGGAGGGTGAATGAGGACGAGCCCTTGAAGGCGTCGAAGGTCCCAGCCTGCGAATTGTCCTCCGACAATTTGGAAACCACGTGGAGTTGAAAGCCCCGGAAGTGACGGCATGCGACTGAAAACGCAGAGTGCACTCCGCTCCGAGTAATATTCGATCGCAGCCTTCGTTCTCACCAATCAACAATTCGTTCTTGAAGTGTAAATTCAAGCAGCGCATCGGCGGTGAACTCATGCGCGCTCCGAGCATATTTCCGCCCATACACACACGAACATACAAACCTGGTCTCGGTCGTGTTTGGATCGAAGTTCATTATCAGAAAAGAATGACAATGCAATGTAAATTTCAGTTTATTCAATGGAAAGGACCTTCGGGAAGTAACAGTGATTCCCATAGTACAGACAAAGGACATAAATTATAGAGGCAAATGAAAGAAGTGGGGGGAGGGGGGATTAATCCACACTGCCCAGAGGGACACTGAGCAGGATGCGGAAGAATCAGTGAAGTCTGAATTTGTCATTCATCATGTGAGCAGTTTCATTTATCCTGTACATGAAATTCTAAATGATAGTACAAAAAGGAATACAAAATACAAAAAACAGTACAACTGCCAGCAAATTATCCATAAATATTAATATTGATCCACATTGGTTTGACAAAACAATGACTTCTGTAAACATTTTCCACATAATGTGTGCATTACTATTAAAAAAAAACACAGCAGTCGCATAGTTATCTGAAAGGATCTCATGATAAAGACTAAAAAGTAAGCCCAGGTTAAAAAATATGCCACTTTTGTGCCATCTTTGTAACATTTCTTTGCGACACTGCTGCAATTCTGGCCTCCTATTTTCACAGATGGGCTGAAGTTTAGGTGGGCGAGATGGAACTGGATGTTGATCTTTTTTGTACATCAACAGCTGCAAAATGTGACGTGAAGTGATAAATGACAGCAGCGGTGTCATATTTTATAACATGGGAGTGGGGAAATAAAGAAAAAAGACTACGCTCAAAAATATTCAAACAAGGTCCATGATGTCTCCGGTCACTGGTTCTGACTAAAGCCTTCCTTCAACTTTTGTTTTGTTTTGCTTCATAGAACCGGCAAAGGATTTTCAGCAGTTGTTTTTGAGTAGAGACGTTACTTAAGGCAACCGGAAATCATATGAGCTACAGTGGCACTCACATCCTGTCAGATCTCACGCACACAAGCTTTGTTCTATTGCGGTCATTTGTAAATCAACGGCTGACTCTGTCAATCGAATTCACAGTTTACGCCTCGTCCCGAACAACCCACGTATTGGTTCATAGAAACGTGGGTCTCCTTCCTTGCGATGATGATGGATCTTATCTCCCTCTATTCACGTGCGGCAATCAAATAAAACTAGACAGTGTGTGAGTGTGTGAGAAGACTGAACTATTGGGCTGACTGAGCAACTTTGGACCAATGCAATTTGCTTGGGGGCATGCTTGGAAACTCTCGGAGCTGATAATCCTGTACCCTGTCACTATCACCAAGGTCCTTCAAAGTATATTCAAGAAGGCATACGAGTGTTTGGTGAGCCACTGAGTGGGAGGAGGAGAAGGAGGAGGGAGGAGGAGCTTGTGTCACATGAACTAAATCGGCAACAAACCAGTGGCGTGTGTGCGCGTGTGTGCGTACGGTTGCTCCCCAGTCGTGGACATGCTCAGTGTTGTCCTGCACTGACCTTGCGCACACACACAGGATGCAAGGTACAGAAAGATGGATTCCATTAAAGTTGAGGGTAGGAGACTCAAGGGAAATTCGGTCGGAATATCGTTTAACTAGCACGCACACACACCGCCACCCACACTTGGCCCAAAAAAAAAAAAAAACGTAACACCCCGCTCACCGCTGGCTATTCATGACGACAAGACGTGTATGAGAGCACAAGCATCTTCATCGTCACAGTAGTCATTTGTTGGTCGCCGCGTCGCTGTCCTGGCATGTCGACTACCAGCTCATGAGGGAAGTGCGTCCCAAGGTCATGAAGTACACCTGGCTGGCACCTCCAGCCCGCACGGAAGCAAAGAAGACCTGCGGGACAAAGGCCGCAATATGGATTCCTCTGCCGAGGCACGGCGGAATTCCAATTGACACGGGACGCACCTTGTCATTCCTCTCACAGAGGAACTTGAGTCTCTGGGCTCGCTTGTGCATAAAGACGCCATCCAGGTGGCCGGTTTCCACTGAGCGGATCTCGATGGCCTTTTCACCCCAGCCCATGATCTGGTTCGACCTAATGTAGGCTGCACAAAAGGCAGACACGGGCAGCATGAACACGACTACGTCTCACTCACGTCTCCTGCGCTCGATTAACGCCAAGAACGTCCAAGAGCCCCATTCTGATAAGATGCTTGTGTCCATTTCAAGGGACAACATTCAATCAATGTAAATTTCAGTTTATTCAATGGAAAGGACCTTCGGGAAGTAACAGTGATTCCCATAGTACAGACAAAGGACATAAATTATAGAGGCAAATGAAAGAAGTGGGGGGAGGGGGGATTAATCCACACTGCCCAGAGGGACACTGAGCAGGATGCGGAAGAATCAGTGAAGTCTGAATTTGTCATTCATCATGTGAGCAGTTTCATTTATCCTGTACATGAAATTCTAAATGATAGTACAAAAAGGAATACAAAATACAAAAAACAGTACAACTGCCAGCAAATTATCCATAAATATTAATATTGATCCACATTGGTTTGACAAAACAATGACTTCTGTAAACATTTTCCACATAATGTGTGCATTACTATTAAAAAAAAACACAGCAGTCGCATAGTTATCTGAAAGGATCTCATGATAAAGACTAAAAAGTAAGCCCAGGTTAAAAAATATGCCACTTTTGTGCCATCTTTGTAACATTTCTTTGCGACACTGCTGCAATTCTGGCCTCCTATTTTCACAGATGGGCTGAAGTTTAGGTGGGCGAGATGGAACTGGATGTTGATCTTTTTTGTACATCAACAGCTGCAAAATGTGACGTGAAGTGATAAATGACAGCAGCGGTGTCATATTTTATAACATGGGAGTGGGGAAATAAAGAAAAAAGACTACGCTCAAAAATATTCAAACAAGGTCCATGATGTCTCCGGTCACTGGTTCTGACTAAAGCCTTCCTTCAACTTTTGTTTTGTTTTGCTTCATAGAACCGGCAAAGGATTTTCAGCAGTTGTTTTTGAGTAGAGACGTTACTTAAGGCAACCGGAAATCATATGAGCTACAGTGGCACTCACATCCTGTCAGATCTCACGCACACAAGCTTTGTTCTATTGCGGTCACTTGTAAATCAACGGCTGACTCTGTCAATCTAATTCACAGTTTACGCCTCGTCCCGAACAACCCACGTATTGGTTCATAGAAACGTGGGTCTCCTTCCTTGCGATGATGATGGATCTTATCTCCCTCTATTCACGTGCGGCAATCAAATAAAACTAGACAGTGTGTGAGTGTGTGAGAAGACTGAACTATTGGGCTGACTGAGCAACTTTGGACCAATGCAATTTGCTTGGGGGCATGCTTGGAAACTCTCGGAGCTGATAATCCTGTACCCTGTCACTATCACCAAGGTCCTTCAAAGTATATTCAAGAAGGCATACGAGTGTTTGGTGAGCCACTGAGTGGGAGGAGGAGAAGGAGGAGGGAGGAGGAGCTTGTGTCACATGAACTAAATCGGCAACAAACCAGTGGCGTGTGTGCGCGTGTGTGCGTACGGTTGCTCCCCAGTCGTGGACATGCTCAGTGTTGTCCTGCACTGACCTTGCGCACACACACAGGATGCAAGGTACAGAAAGATGGATTCCATTAAAGTTGAGGGTAGGAGACTCAAGGGAAATTCGGTCGGAATATCGTTTAACTAGCACGCACACACACCGCCACCCACACTTGGCCCAAAAAAAAAAAAAAACGTAACACCCCGCTCACCGCTGGCTATTCATGACGACAAGACGTGTATGAGAGCACAAGCATCTTCATCGTCACAGTAGTCATTTGTTGGTCGCCGCGTCGCTGTCCTGGCATGTCGACTACCAGCTCATGAGGGAAGTGCGTCCCAAGGTCATGAAGTACACCTGGCTGGCACCTCCAGCCCGCACGGAAGCAAAGAAGACCTGCGGGACAAAGGCCGCAATATGGATTCCTCTGCCGAGGCACGGCGGAATTCCAATTGACACGGGACGCACCTTGTCATTCCTCTCACAGAGGAACTTGAGTCTCTGGGCTCGCTTGTGCATAAAGACGCCATCCAGGTGGCCGGTTTCCACTGAGCGGATCTCGATGGCCTTTTCACCCCAGCCCATGATCTGGTTCGACCTAATGTAGGCTGCACAAAAGGCAGACACGGGCAGCATGAACACGACTACGTCTCACTCACGTCTCCTGCGCTCGATTAACGCCAAGAACGTCCAAGAGCCCCATTCTGATAAGATGCTTGTGTCCATTTCAAGGGACAACATTCAATATGCGTTTAGATACACGGGGCACGAAACAATGGCGTGTGCAGAGGTCCATAGTTCCGCAAGTCTCGGCACATCACACGAGTCTACTATAATGAAGAATACAAATAATGAACAATGCACAATGCTTAGTTGGCCTGGGTTGTCTTTTCGACACCGTTGATGTAAATGAGGATAAGATGGGCATTACTCCACTGGTTGCACCCAAAACTGTTTTATCCTATGAATTATCACCACGCCTCAATATTTAGTCCATATTTTGTCTTTGCTTTTGCTGAAGGCGAAAATTACAGCATTGTTGTTTCGGCAGACGCGGGTATGTGTGTCACTGATCTGTGCATTTCAAGAGCCAGGTTTACATGGAGCCTTTTATTCACAAAAATGAAACAGAATGAACAAACCGAATAAACACCTGCGGGACGTCACGCATGGAAAAGTTGTTGTCGATGGGCCGTCACACGCCAAAATGTAGTCTGTGACCAGTGCGGTAGTGCCGAAAAAGTATCAGAGAAGGGGCAAATACTTTTTCACGGCACTGTATCTGTATGTGCATCAATGGGGTTTATCCGATCTGTATATTTATGCTGCACCGACACTCGCAGATAACCGAATGGGCTGGATTTTTATACACACTTAGATGCCTGATTCTGATCCAAGGAATTCTGGTTCTATTCTCGACGTTGCTATGACGCACATCAGAATTGTGCCAAACAATTGAAACTATGTCACTTTAATATGCAGTGTAAATCCAGCCTCAGATAGTTGAACCCGCTTACCCACTGAAGTCGGCATTTCCCCCCACTGCAGCACCACGTCCTTGGTGATGCGCCCGTACGTGTTAACGTAGACGCCCTCGTCCTCGTAGCAGACGAGCAGCTCTATTCCATCGGTGTTGGGCAGGATGATAATGGCGTGGCACTGAATGCTGGTCTGGATCTGAAGGCATGAGGGACCAGTTCGGGAGGGCAAGTCAAACAACGTTGGGGATGTTGAGCAGGGCATTTACGTGAGTCGTGTTAATTGCGTGAATGAAAACCAAACATAAATACTTCATCAACACACATTTTTCACCGGACAAAAACTAGACGAGACGAGACTAAACTCTCCCTCCATTTCATATACCATAACTGGGACTGAAACTAGAAGTGAAGTATTAATGGCCATGCTTTGCATATTGCAATGATTTTAGTCGAAGAGCAGGAATGTGGGAACAAAGTAGCTGGGGGGAAAAAATGACTTAAAAGAGACATGTGGCAGTTCACCACACATATTGCGGTAAGGTCATAAAAAGTTTGGTAGTGGTTGTTGATCATCTAACATTAAACCAACGGCCATACTGCTCCAACAACAATGTTAAATTGACCACAAACTAATGCTGGCTGACTTACTAGCTTGTAGCATGTATCAACTTACTGATATACAGTAATTGGATGTCAAGTTGAATTTGTGCGAAAAACAAACGTGATTGAAACTAAAAGTAAAACAGAGTAAATTTCAAAAAGGCTGATGAAATGAACACTATACGTGAGTGGGTAGGTAGATGTCGTAGACTGCGCCCGAGTCCACATCCACAGCATGGAAGCCTGAGCAGGAGCCATAGATGACCTTTAACCTCTGACCTTCCTCTACGGTCAGGTCCACCAGCAGAGGCTTGTGCACCAAGTCACCAAATGACTGAAAGCGAGCGAGGGTGAAGTTATTACGGGGGCATCGAATCCAGGAGAAAAAAAAAAGCAAACATCTAACCGGCTCAGCATGCTCACCTTGAAGGCCATGAACTTGTGGTACGGTTTCGGCGCCCAAGCGTAAACCTCCACCGAGTTCTTTAAGGCCAGCACCAAGAATTTAATCCTCTCGTATTTCACTGGAACACACAGTCATGGATTACAACAAGAAGCCAATGCGTTTTATTGCCGACAAGTCCCACGTACCGACTTTGTAGTGGACACAGCCTTCCAGGTCACCCACATTAACCCAACCTTGCTTCTTCTCCACCTCTGGGTCATTATGCAGAATCTTGTTCCGCAGCCAGGACAGGTAATACACTCGCAGCTTGTTCTTTTTGCCTGAGAGAAAAAGACATATTTCTCAAGTTCATTTTCTGTCAATTAATAATGTACGGTAGTTCAATGGCAGTACCTGAAATGGTAACCAGAACGTTGAGACCCTCAAGGACATCCATCTGTTGGATACGTCGCCGGTTGATCAGCGGGTAGACCTTACCCTGACCGCTGCGGTCCAACAGCATCAGACCGCTCTCGGTCCCCACCAGCAGATTGACCCCTGCAGTGGCAAGTGAGGCTTAGTGACCCTCGCCTGAGAAGGAGGGTTGACACTGCGGCGCGTACGCTTACCCCAAAGGGCTGCGCACAGGATCTCCGAGTTGAAGCGCTTTTTATATTTGCGGATCTCTGGTGTGTCACTTGGCGGGCGTGTGTTGACAGGGTTGACATTGACCACCGAGCCTTTGCGAGACGGGTCAGACCTCAGTGGGTCCGCTAGACGTACGTCCTGCCCAAATCCAGCTGCAGGCAAGATGGCACACGTCTTTCTGTTCAAACTACTCAATAGCAGAATCACGGAAGAGCGTAGCCTGCACTTGATGGCTGCCTCGCATACGAAACGGCAGACCTTTGACCTACCCATGTTGTTGAGTGAGCTTCCGCTTGATGGGGAAATCTGGAGCAAGCGAGGATCGATGAAGGGAGTGAAGGAGGACGACGACTTATGTTTGGACATGGAATTACTCTCGGACTGGCTCTGTCCAAGACAGCAGAAACAACAAGTTACCAGACCGACAGGATAACCTTCCTTACTTTGTTGCAGCCACAGTGGAACATCGATTTAATAGACTAATTGGGGGGGGGATGATGATGTCCGTTACAGCTGATTGTCCGTAATATCGAAGTACTTTTTTAGTGTACAAAATTACTGTTTTGGTACCTTTGTGTTTTTTTGTAAAAAAAAAAAAAAAAAAAAAAAAAGCTTGCAACCTTGTGTTTTTTTGTAAAAAAAAAAAAAAAAAAAAAAGCTTGCAACTGTTTTTTAAGGTTTCAAGTTTATCCAAACTTTCCTTGTTGGTGCTTCGGAGGAGTATGATGGTGTATTGTAGCTCTGGTCATGTTTATGAGCCACAATGTTCTTTTTTCACCTCCGTTATGATTAGATGCCATAGATAAGGGCTCTAAAAACACTCACACGCAGATGCCATAGATAAGGGCTCTAAAAACACTGTTCTTTTTTCACCTCCGTTATGATTAGATGCCATTGATAAGGGCTCTAAAAACACTCACACACACACACACACACACACACACACACACAAAACAACTGTGTACTGTCCAAAAAATAGCATGTTCGAGAGACGTAAACGTGACACATGACACAGTCCTTTTTGAACAAAGCAAATATAAAACCTTCCATTATCTTTGATGAAACAGTCGTCCCCGCAAACTTGGCTGCCACTTAAGTACATGCATTGCTTTTGATGGGTAAGTCACCTCTGCCAACATGGTCGCCACATGGACGCACTTTTTAGCCTGCTCGAGTCTACTCAAAAGTCTGTTTATGACAATAGAGCGGCACAAGCTGGAAAACGCATAAACAATCTCTCTCTGTTGATGGCGCCACAGCGTTGTTTGCTGGCACTGTGATACATTGCGGCCGATTCGGATTTTGAGAGCTACTGGACGACAGGGTACTTCGAGTGTTCCTACCTAGCTATCTATCTAATCTCCGTGCCGACTGACACATAATGCCTCCATGCTACTTTTCCATTTGATCCTTTCATTGATGTGTTTCTTAATTGGATCAATCAAAATTCTTCCCAACACTTTCCTGGCGATTTATTTGATGCTCCTAATTTCGGATTCACGTCACCGGTTATCAAAACCATGTTGTGTTTGTTCACCTTCTCTACTACAGCGGTTCATCAGAACTGTCTTTTGCTTCATCAGTACCATCCGCTGTTGGTGCATAGACATGAATAATTGTTAATTCAATGATTTTGGAATAAAATCTTTCAGTAATGATTCTCTCATTTACTGGTCTCCACTGCATCTTCCCTGCCCGAAAATATGACAGTCTAACCGGCACTTAACTTTGTTTTACCATACCCAGTCCATCTGCACTCGCTAATTCTGAAAAGGTCAACCTTGTCTCCCTTCATCACTTTTGCAACTTGAGCTGTTTTCCCAATAGAAAACATTGTTCTTGTACATGGCTCCTTCCATCACAAAGCTTGTTTTGTTTGTTCGGCATCTATCTATTTATGTATTTATTTTTACAGGAATGGGTTATAGCTAACCCCCAACCTGGAGGACCAGGACACTATTCTTCATCTGGTTTCTACCTGTCCACCTGTCCAACTGCGGGGGGGGGGGGGGTGGGGCTGGCCGACCAGGAGAAATCGATTCCAGACAGCATAGCTCTTTAGGTCACTGAAGCAAACAAACATTCCCACAGAGGATAAGGTGATAGTCTCAGCAGAATGCCATTCTAGTATTGTGGACACTATTTTCGGTCCATTGGGTCAATTTGTTCCAGGTCCGTTAAATCAAGGCTCCACTGTGTATGCGTGCCTATACATTAGTGTGCGTGTGTGTGTGTGTGTATCTACACACACACACACACGCACGCACGCACAAAACTTTAAGACACACAAGCTTGATAAAACATGAAGCTGGTGGGGGGGGGGGGATTATGCAGTCTTGAAGTTAGTTTCGAGAGTAAAAGAAAGAGAAGTGGAAAGGAAGAAATGCTAGCCGCAGAGGTGGGCGCGTCAGGAAATTTTGCTGGTCCATTCCTCGTTATTTCAAGCCGAAACAAACTAATCATCAGTCAGTTCGTCCGTCCGTCAATGTTAGGCCAAACAAAAAAGATGTGTTTCTGGTAAAATGAAATTTCAGCATAGGGTCGGTAGGTCGGACAGTTTTTTTTTCTCCATCAAAAATTTAAACAAAATAACCATAAAACATAAAACAAGAAGACATTGAACCCGCGGCCGGCGCCGCCACCTATTTAGTTTTCTCCCCGCTCCAGACTCGGGGGGCCGGGGCACGCCCCCGCCTCCGCCGCTGTCCTCCTCCGCCCTCGGTTTTTACTCGGCCCGTGGTGTTCATCAAATAGTTTGCTGAATTTTTTTCGATACATCAATGGATGCTATTTTCTTAACATTACGGTGCGAGCTTGCAACTGTAACACAGAAAACGCGGTTTAAACTGTCGTCGGAGATCGCGGCCGCCGCCATGTTTCAATGTTGTTGACAGACGACAGGGCAAACGACGCACCCGCTCAACGTGAATATCGCGAGAGTTTGCACCGATGTAAACCCTCTACACAAAAATGTAGAGGGTTGTTTGAAAAAAATGCCAACCGTAAAGTTTTTTTTCGACGTAGAAATTCTCGGTCGGTCGGGTTACCGGAAACATACTACTTTTTTTTCTATGCCTTATTTTAACAGCACTTCCGTCATCACTAGATAACAGTTCGTCACTGTTAAAATTACAGTTCATTGCCGCCATAACCAACAGATCTTCTGCTACTACTTCGTGACGCGCATTCGCAGCACAAGCAGTGTATCTATGCCTGTAAAGGGCCATGCCATGTACAAAGAAAAGCAAAACTAAGACATTCCATAGCACTTACAATCAATATTTACAACCAGACATTCAATAAATAAACTATAACATGTGCGCCTTGTAACCCAGTAGTAGATAAAGTGGAAATAATATCACGACATAACGTTCCCTAATCTCTTTCCAGCCATCCAACATACGCGTTCCAAATGGGAAGTAATTGTGGAATCCAAGCTGGAAGTTACAAAATATTCTCAAAAATAAATAATTTCACCAAAATTTAACAGTAAAACAACCATAAAGGTATATATGCAAATAAAGACACATGAACAAAACAGACAAAAAAAATTGTACAGTGTGTCGTCATGGTTAAAATTTGTAAAGTGTGTCGTCATGATAACCAATCAAAGGTAATACAAGCGGCAGCACATCTGCAAAATTGTGAAGCGTAACAATATTGATATTGGAATTTAATCTCGCTTGAAATAAAGCATCAGGTGGACATTTGTGGTTCAAGTAGTAATTGTGACATGCAGACGGTATGTTGGTGAGACACGTCAATAACAAGATGCCATCTTTAGCAGACGTCTCCATCAAACGAGACGTTGAGGAGCCACGTCCCATTACCCAAAATATTTCTACCTCCTCGCTGGAATTTCTGATGGGAGATTCTAGCATTTAAATGGAGGAGCAAGGAGCGAGAACATAGGAAGCTGCAATTAGAGTAGTGAGATGAGCCCATAGACAATGCAGTCCGCTCAAAGCAACTCCGGTGTATATTCACCCTCGTGAACAAAAACGTTAGACAAGTGGTACGTGTTTCCGTGAGTCGTCATCGAAACGGGGGTGCGTCAGTGAGAAGGTCCATAGGTAGTAGTGACGATGCCAGTGATGGATGAAAACACACTTCGATCTATGCTTAGGCAGTCACTTTTTATAAGTTCCACGTCATTCATTTGCAAAACGGGCATCCGTCAGCAATGAATTAACAGACCTTCCGTTAGTACTGATGGCATGCCGACCTCTGGGTAGCAGTGTATGTTAATGCTGCGGTATAATGCAGGCAGAAGAGGATCCTAAATACACCACCAAGATGCATTTTGTTTGAGGCAGTAGTGATGATTTAAAAAAAAAAAAAAAACAAGCACCTACGAGCACAACGCAAATCAGAGACACTCGCTTGTTAGTTCAAACCAAGAAGTTCCAGTTGGGTTCCCTCCATGCTATGACCGCATTCTACCACCAGGAGGCAGCCATGTTAGGAGGTGTCAGCTAGGCCACAAGGAGGAAGAGAGCCAGAGTAAAAGGAAGCAGGATGGAGCCAGAGAACGCAGACTTGCCAGACCCAACAACCAGAATGGTACTATAGGTTTTGTACAGGCTCAGAGATTTACTTACGTTTTGTTTTTAACCATTAAATAAACATTTGCAAATACAGTGGAACCCTTAAAGTGAGATGCACCTGATGTTGTAAAAGTGGGAATTAGATTTAAAAAGGCTTTTAAAATCACTCAAACATCTAGTTTGTTTGTTTTTTTTAACTTTAGTATTTTCCGGTGTATAGACCTTGCAGAAGCTTTTTTCCATCATTAATCCCATAGGAGGAACAGCCTCAATAAGGGCTGTTTAAAAAAACTTGAAAGTGGAATTGTAAGCAGACCGAAATTCAGATTCCAATACTTTTGTCGACCATGCATGATCACGCATTGTCAAAAATGGCACTGCTGACAGTAGCTACTTTTTTTTTAATTCACAAACCCACTACCAATGAAGTTGTGACGTTGCGTTAAACAGAAATTAAACTGGCATACAATGATTTGCGAATCATATTCAACCTATCTTGAATTGAATACACTACAAAAGGAGTGAAAGAAAAGACTTCCCATCCTAGTAATAAACGTTTATCAAGGGACTATTTCCATTAAAATTATTTCCGACAGCAAAAATTATGTGGCGGTTGACATGGATTGTGTTTGACTAAGGAAGTGGCGTGGTAACATAGTCAACACCTCAGTTTGTAGTTTAAGAAGAAGTTAAAGGTTCCACTGTAGTTCAATATAACCTGGCAACAAAAAGTATAATGCTGCTAGTTTAAATCCATAGCCAATGTTGGTGTTGGAAACTAATTGAAAATAAACATTCAACTGGCAGTTGACCCAGATTAGCTGCCCGTGCCCGAGCCTGAACTCCCTGGAGTCCATTTCAGCAGGCGCTGGCCTCAGCCAAGTGAGGGCAACATACCTCGATGGCAACAAGCTTGTCCAGGGGATTCAGTGGGGACATGGCCAGACTAAGTGGTGATGATGATGATGATGATGAGGAGGAGGAGGAAAGCATTGATGTGGAAGAGGAAGGGGAGTGATGGCTCTGTTGGATAAGGTCTGGTAAGTGGTGAATGAAACCAGTGAAGCCATTTTTCTCTTGTAGGCTGTGGATGGATGGTTGGTGTTGGCCGTGAGAGGAACCGGCGGGGGAAGAGGAGGAGAGACTGACCAACCGCTTAATGTCAGCGGTGCTCTGCAAGCAAGAACAGGCAGACTTTTGGCTCCAGTGAACAGGAGGAAAGATGACACATTCTGCAGTCGAGTGTTTTTAAGATCCTCTTCTTCCAACAAACAATATATTGGCGTAGGTCTATGATGATACACTAATCTTTACTTCATACAAAAATGGAGGACGGCGGTGAATGATTGGATGAAAACCCTGGACAAAGACACACTGCCCATGTGTTCTTTGGTTTGACAATGTTCCAAAATGAGGTTCGCAGCTCCTCCTCCTACCTGTCTGATGACCAATGTGCCATCCTTCGAGGGTGTGGTGGCCTGATTGCTCTCAGAGTCTTCAACCAGCATAGTTTTGGCAGATCCGGTCTCACCATTGCTCAGCCTCCTGTGGAAGCCGTGAGAAGATCTGACATGCACAACCAGAACCATTTAAAGAACTTTTTTTTTTTAATCCACTTTCTACAAATGATGATGACAGTGGATGTCTTCCACTAACCCAGAACGGGAGTCCTCTGCCCCCGAGGTAGACTCTTCACCCGCCTCCTGGTCTACTTCCTCATCGTCGTCCTCATCAGTGGTGCCGGACTCTTCACTTGAGGACGAGTAGTCAGTCACCTTGTGGGGAGGCCGTACATCGTCCACTGCACGAAGTTCCTTAGCAAGGGCTGTCAAGTCCTAAGGAGTAGTAATAACCAAAAAACAGGTAAGACAGGAGACAAAGTGACAAGACAAGAAGAGTGAGTGTACATTCAAATGTGGCTGTCTTAAAAAACAGTGGCGGCGGTTTCTGCCACTGCACAAGGCAACAAAGTGAGGAAGGGCATGAAGGTGCATAATTTTACATTGCAGGTGATAATAATTTGATTGCATTAATCATCCAAAGGAATCAAAGGCTCCATGATTTCATATTTATTTTATTCTGCAATGAATAGCATTGAGATGATACTGTCTCCCTGAACAGGCTGACAACCACGAGGTATGCCAGGTGGGTGTATGGAAAAAACATTTGAGAGTTGTCTCACATTTAAAAAAAAAAAGATTTGTTGGCCCATTAACAAGTAGGAAATACTTACAGCAGGTCGAGTAGGCCTGGCAAAATTCTTTTCATCAGTTTTTTTGGGAACATTCTCAGGGCGCTGGAGAGGCGATCCTTCAGATTTGGAGGATGCTTGGAAGGTCAAAACAAACTGGATTAGACATTTTTGGGTTTTAATTTTGGCAAAGTTGGCAGAGGGACAGGGGCTCACAGCGTGGCCTGAAGCGGTCTCCAGGACTGGCCTGGGAGCTGGAGTTGGAGGAGCCAGACGAACTCCCGCTCCCAGGCCGAGGCTGCAGCTTCTCGACGCGGTCCCACAGGGGGCGCTGCTCCACATTACTGTACAACAGAAAAGTATTTCAATAAAACATACAAGACCATTTTTAAGTGTCACAATTTATCTAAGGCTTCTCTACTTACCCAGCCGCGTTCCTTTGGCCACCAGGCTGCAATGGCAGCGGAGACTCCCGGCGTGAGAGGACCGGTGAACGGGACGTCGTTCTCACAGGTACCTGGAGAAGATGTACACAATGTTCGCTTTACACCTGTTAAACTGTCACCCACGAGTAAGAAGCAAACACTTAATCCAGATCTTTTTATTGTCAGACAGACAGACAGGTTGTGGTAGAGCACCATTAGTCAGTCGAGTGACAAATGTGACAAGAAATTAATGAAGACACTGAAAGGGGAGGCATGCGGCTCTTTATGACTCCTTACCTTGGGTGGCACTTCGTCACCGGGCTGGACCTGAGGATGGTGAAGGGGAGGTTGGGGCTGGGGGTCAGTGCGTGCAGGCAATGGGTGATGATAGTGGGGATCCTGGGAACGCAGGTGGAGTTGTGCAAAGCTAGTAGTAACAGCACCGGGCTCACTGAAGGACTGGGAGCGAGCGACCACGGTCGGAGGAGGAGGAGAGGGGGCAGCGCTGTTACTGCTCTTTAGAGCAGCAAGGTGGGACCACTGGACCTTTAGGGAGTGAGTGGGGGTGGGGGGACGGGGGCAGGTAAAAAAACAGTGAGACACGAGGGAAGATGTGTGGTTTACATGCATACAGTCATATCAACGCAGATGCAAACAAGAGACAGTCACGATATCAGTTACTGTCAGGACACATAATGTACAACAGTGATCCTTAGAGCATGGACTCACACCCAAAATCCGTGTTTGCTATTTGTTTAGCGGCAACCAGCGAATTTTGAATCAACTCAAATGGGTTCCCTTGCAATTTTGTCAAAAAACACATTATTGTCCAAGAAATGAAAAATCAAATTTGATGATGACGGGTAACGGTAAAAGGAGTGCACTTAATACAGCGATTTGTCATCACCATAGGTTGGCCAAAGTGCTTGACCAAGCCTCACGTCTTAGAAAACATATTGGATGCTAACACAGCCGTATCAACCTACGAAAAGGTTTTCTTTATTAGTTCAAAATAACTTCCCTTCGCCATACATTGGCCAATGGAACCAGGGTGCTTAATTTTGAAAAAGTTTTATATCCATCCGTGTTCTGTCGTACCACCTAGCTGGCGCTATGCAAACCTGGGAGGCTGTGTCTTTGCGGCAGCGCCCAAGTTTGCAAACTCCCTTCGTGCTAGGATGGCGTCAGATGCCAACAGCGAAGTAACAAAAAATGCATTGATACACTGACTAGATGGGCTTGATTGAAAGATTGCTTAACAGTTAAATGTAATGGTCATTAGTTGGCTAAATATTCCCATACACATGCAAACATTTCCAGGTGTCACTATAAAAAGTTTGTTTCACACGACACTGCACCCCTCACATACAGTATGTACATACGTCGCACGCATTGCCATTCAAACATTCCTGTGACACTAGTACAGGTGACAATATGCTTCGATTCATTTTCACTCAAATCCAAAAATTCTGATTGAAAGGCCAAATCGCTTCTCTAGTCACCAGTGATTTCTACACACCCCCTATTGTTTTCCAACCAGGTTGCCCAAGAATACTAGTGGCGCTGCAAGAAATGATCACATTTCAATTGTGTGTCCAATGTGGCAATATTATTTATGAATTACACATAATCACAATGAAATGCAACACCATTTGATGGAAGAGTGTACAATAAACCTTTGTATCCACCTGTTGCGATTCATACAAGAAAATTATAGCTTTGCGTTCAACTAAAGTCAGCCATAATTTACACTGAGTAAATTGAAATGAATTACTTATTAATATTCGGATTTTTGTGACATTTTGGCATCATGGTGTTCCGTGAGATTTTTCTAATGTAAATTTTTCTAATGACATCACTACGCAATTACGTCAAGAAAGACCATGCACAGACCGGATGCAGCTGGCCAAAAAGGGACTGCAACGCTCCCCGCCGCTTGAGTCTCGCACAGAGGGAATGGAGTTTTAAAAAAAAAAGCCATTGGCAAAAAGAAACACTTAAGCCAAGTTGCGGCCATTTTGATTTTTTTTTTATATTTGGAACAATGTTGATGTGCAACGGGTGGAACAAGTTAGCGTTCACTCAGTGATTGTGTAACAGCTCTGCGTTTTAGCAAACACCAACCCATTCACTTTTTTGCATTTCATAGGGTTTGTTTGAGGGGCAAAATATACATTTAACGTTGCAAACAGCAGCACGAAACCGCTGGTTTTGAGCCTTGCAATGAGGAGCACTACTCCTGTGTATACAAGTATGCCCGTTGTCAACATGTATGTTCAATGTGCTCTTCTGTTACTTGCATCACCTCTCCAGCTTCTGGAAGTCAGGTGTCTAAGTTTTACATAATCCTGTAATTAACATACGAAGCCAAATGTAGATGTTCATGTTTCGTTTCCCATTGAAATGGATATCTAGTACAAGGTGGAGCGGATACCTGAGGCTCCATGGGCCGGTGCATGGCAGTGGCGTCGGACGAGCTGCTACCGTTTGAGAAGGGTTCAGCAGAGCGAGGGGGAAGAGGAGGCTGCTTGGAAGGAGGGGCGGCCTGAGGAGAGCCCTGAATGTTTTTACGGTATCGTTCATCAGCCTGGGGTGAGGGAAACACAATGAGACAAAGGATAAGGTGAGTTTGGGAAAACCGGAGTGCTGAGACTCAAGAGTTAAGGTCCATCATCACACTCAGAACTCCTCTTTCATTGCCTAGAAAGACGTGCAGCAAGCGTGACATGTCATGCTTGAAGTTGCTCTGCACAGACACACGTGAACAGACATATGCTACGATATCAACAACTTTGAACGCTGAAAAGGGAGGAAAGAGTTGTTAATTATGAAGTGCCTCACTGCTTGGATGTTGCATGTTAGTTTGGGCTTTGGCCATTTACATGCAGCTGCCCAAATCATACTGACATCGCAGCCACAACTTCTCATCAGGAATTCTCCTTGTTTAGTCTCCAAAAGAGAAATCATGGCAACTCAAGTGTTGCCGGCACCATCTCCGTCATTGTTGTCACAGGGGCAGAGCAAAGACAAAGTGAGAAGATGGAAAGAGCAAGTGGCAGGGCAGTCAGTCGGTCAACAAGGGGGTTCACCTCTCTGACAGGCTGAGGAGGAGGATTGAGCGGTCTATCAGGCTCAGTATATTCTCCTTGGGGAGGTGCGGAGTGAATGGAAGGTTCAGCCTGAGGGGAGATGGGACTACAGGAGGCCAAACTCTGGCTGATGTTCTCATCAGGGTCACTTTTCTCTGACAGTGCTGCCTGAGCTTCAACACTGTCAGGGTGAAATGCCGGTGGTGTTCCAGAGTTCTCAGAGGTTCCTCTCAGTGTTGCAACAGCACTGTTGAGTACCACCGCTTGTGGGGGCAGGGTAAGGGTTCTGTCGGGGGGCGATGTCATCGGCGGAGGTTTGCTAAGGTCTGAGGGGAGTTTGGCCTTATTATCAAGCTGCTGCCGGGATGCATGCTGGAGTGACCGCAGCTGCTCCTGCTGCAGCCGCTTGTGAAGCCGCTCAGCCTTGCGCTGCTCCTCCAACTCGCGCCACTTGAACTCCTACCGCAGATATGGGTGGGGGATTCAACGCCGCAGTCATTTTCTACAAAAAAAACAACTTCTACAAAGCATTTGTCTAATTTCTTCTCAGGAGATTGTCCACAAACTCTCTTCCTTCCTCTTAAACATTTGAAAAAGATGCACACCTGGTGCAGTCAGTTCAGAAGTAGTGCTGTCACAGACAAACAAATACAGGTATATAATGCAAGCATGAGGTCAAAGTGGTTGTGTGACTGACCAGTAACATAGCCTGTTCACGCAGTAGCTGTTCCTGTAGCATCTCCAAATGTCTCTGCTCCTCCTCGAGCTGCCGCCGGATGTACTCCTGTCAAACAAAGCGTTAATCAGAGTATCAGTATTAGAAAATGAACAGCAATGTCCAGGTTTAAGGATGGGACGGAAGTGGTTTTCACCGGGACAAGACTTTTTTTTTTTCTTTTCAATATGATGGTCCAGGACAGTTTTTCTGTGGGAGTCTGATGAAACTAGAGTGAAAATCCACTCAGGTGTCACCCTCTAATGCAGGGGTGTCAAACATACGGCATGCGGGTCGGAACCTGCCCCCAAGGAGGTTCGATCAGACCCGCAGGATCATTTAAAAGTGAAAAAATGCATAAAGGACATGGAATGAATATTTTTAATTATGTGCAATTTGTGGAGTATCCGCTAGGTGACACACTGTTTTGATCAGAGTAGATGACAAAAGCAGAGAAGAAGACAGAGAGCTGAGACAGACCCAACACAGCAGATGCTATCAAGGACATGTGAATATTTTATCCTTTATACATTTAATAGCACCATCCTTAGTTTGTACGGTGTAGTCAGGGATTACATTTAGATTTTATATGCGCATGTGTAAATGGTTTAAAAATTCCTTTATTAATCTCGTTTAATCTTAAAATGCGTTAATATATTTTTCAATACCAATTACTTGTTTAAGTTTGTAAAATCAGTGGGATCAGTTGCAATGCATATATGTGAATGATAAAAGTAAATTGCACATTTGTCCAAGGAAATCTAAGGTGCTTCATGAAATGTTTTGTAAAAGATATGTTCATTAAATGTCAACATTTTCCTAATGTTCTTGTGCTTCTTTAAGCCAAAACAAAGGAAAGACATATTATTTTGGTTATTTATAGCAGAGTATGATATCATTTTAATGGTCCGGCCCACTTGACATCTACCGAGGCCGTATGTGGCCCACAATGTGAAATGAATTTGACACCGCTGCAATGGGTATACCAACAGTAGTATGTTGAATTCGGCTTTGTGAAGGCCTGCAATTTTCCAAAAAGCTGTTTTGATTGAGGTCAAAGAAACAGAAGACTGTGTTATTAACTTAACTTTTGAACAAAACAGACCTGCTCACGATCATTCCTTCTTTTCTCATCCTCAGCCCGTCTGCGTTCCTCCTCCTCTTTTCGCCTGCGATCCATTTCCTCAACGCGTCTCTTCTCCTCTTGCTCCCGCCGACGCTGATCACGCTCCTGTTGCCGTCTCATTTCGCGTTCACGTCTTTGTTGCTGCGTTTGTGACACAATATGATACTCAGCAGTGTGTGTGTTTGTGTATTTCATTTACTGTCTATTTGAAGTGAAGTTCTGTTTTTGAATTAATAAAGGGAAATAAATTTAACAAATGTTTTTGAAAATCTGATTAATCAATTAAATTAATTAAATAAATAAAAAAAGATTCAGAGATTATTTAAGAAAAAGCCATAGTTGTAACTCTAAAATTGAAAATTGTACACATAATCCACGTGATCGGAATCAGTTGATCACACTCAATCTTAATTGAGTGTGATCAACTGGTATTGGTAATGGCAGTATAAAACTCTGATTCTAACATCCCTAATTCTACGCCAATCAAAGCTGTTGTTATCTGCGCATTATTCAAAATTATTATCTGGCTATGAAACTTAACTTTGTGCAGATGCCCATAGTTCTTGCCACTGATGTTAATCTATTCAGACTAGTGGCGATCGCAGTTAGCCTCAAGTGGCTTTCGGGTAACGTCCAACTCTACTTCCAACCGACTGCAGTGGAGTGGAGTGAGCAGTGATGCATTCCGTCTCTGGTGCCACTGCGGCTTGCCAAACATGGTAGATCACAATTATCTGCAGAGTATTTTTGCTCATTTCAATCTGTGTGAGCATTGGGGTCCATGGTTTTATTATTTTGTTTTTTTTTTTAATATCAATAACAGAGAGTGTTAGGCTGTAACGAGGTAGAGTTTAGTGATTTCCATCATAAAAATCTAACAATTGGTGGCTCTGGGAGGCAAATGTGTTGCGAATCTGAACAAGTCAGATTGTCAGACTTAAAAAATATATAAATAAATAAATAAAATCCACCTCCTCGAGGCGCCGCCTCTGCTCCTTCTGCTGCTCAATACGCTTCTGCCTCTCGGCCAGTAGTTGGCGCTTGTATTCCTCCTGTTCACGAAGCTGCTGCTCCTGCAGCAGTTGCTGACGGCGCAGCGCCTCCGACCTCTCCTTGTTCTCCTGCTGGAGGCGGATGAAGTCTCGGCGCAGCGTTGACTCACCCGGCACATTAACAATGGAGCTAGGCCATGAGAGCAATCAGATGTGTTAAACTGTAGTCGTACATGTCGTGAGGACAGCACATCGTGCTGCAACCAAACCTTGGTTCTCCCTCCTGCTCCGCTGGATCCTCTTCTTCCTCCTCACTGCCACTGTACTCATACTCAGTCTCATCTGTGCACAGAAGACATTCCAAGTGATGCAAATGTCACATAACAGGATCTTGTTCACAAATGAGGAGACAAATGCACCTTTCTCGCCCCTTTTCTTCTTCGTGCGATCGATGTGATCTTTCAACTGAATTCGGACCTGCCTCTCATTGGGTTGGTCACGAATGAAGGGATGTTTGAGCAACTGTTCGGTTGGGGGTCGCTGCGTGTAGTTCTTCACCAGACAGCTTTCAATGAAGCTGAAAAACTTTTTGGACCTGTACAGTCCATACATAAAAGCAGAGAGAAGAGCAAAATTGGGATTCCATTAAGTTACAAATTGGATAGACATGGGCCCTGCATACACGGCAAAATGTATTTAAATTTAATTTTACTCTATTGATATAGCACGATTGTTTTGACAGTATCTGTTTTTTTTAAATTACCTACATTTACATTACACTATACCACCTTAAGTGCAAAATGACTATGATTCAAGTGTGTGAGATGAAACAATACAATTACAATTACGTTGAAGTTTGTGATAAAAAGATGAGCATTGAGAAGTCACAAGTTAGTACACACACGCGCGCACACACCCACACTTAATTCTGAAACACAGCTCAACTAGTTGTTAACGGTTAGAAGCAAATGAAGACTAGTTGCCTGCACACTTTGTGAAACTACTTTTTCAGAGGCTTTCGGCACTGTCACTCTTTGCGCGGCTGACTTAAGTAAGAGAGTAAGAGTTCTGCAGATAAAGATAGAAAGATCAGTTTTCATTGAACGGTAGGTAACGACTCAGCTCACCATTTTTTGGATTTAAGTCTTGGAGGCGGGTTCCTTGGAATCAGGAAGAGTGCTCGCATAGGATGCATGTCACAAAGCGCTGCAAGTACACACACCACACAACACATCAGAAACAGCACTGTGTTTCATATAGCGGAAAGCAAAATGAAGCCCTTACGTGGCGCTCCTTCAGCCATCTCAATTGCAGTAATGCCGCAAGACCACAGGTCACTCTGCAATAAGTCATGAGCGTCAACCACGCATGCAAGCATGCACGCGCAATCCAAAAGAGGGTCTTACTCGGTAGTCGTATGTCGCATCTGGATTCTCATCACAGGCGATGACTTCAGGGGCCATCCAATAGGGAGTACCAATGAAGGTGTTTCTCCTGCCCACGGTTCGATCGAGTTGGGCACTTACACCAAAGTCCACTGGGAAGGTGGAAAGAGTTAACTGTTGTCAGATTACAGCTACAACGTCATTGTTTTTTTTTTTGACAAACGCCAGGGATTTTCAATTTACCTAATTTGACTTCAGCATTTTCTGTCAACAGGACATTCTGGCCCTTGATGTCACGGTGGATGACGTGGTGGGCATGTAAGTGAGCCAGACCCTACCAAAGGTCACAGACACAGAGCACATAAGTCAACTGAGACATTTGACCTTCAAAAACTCAAAATCAAAACAAAAAAGAAAAACGATCATTGGTAAAAGTTTCCAGTAGCGGAGCCCAAGGGTGTCCCACAAATGAACAGGGCACTGCCTGACCGGAGTCGATGTAGTGGCTAGTGGGACCAACCACTGCGTAGAAGATTGGAAAGAAAAAGAGTTGAAGTTGGAGCAAAATAACCGCAGCATGGCAGTGAGTCCACCTAAGCTATCACAATGGAAGCTAATGAGAGCCAGCCAGCTAAGCAAGGGAGCTAGCTGGCAGGAAAAGAGGGTAGCCGACCCAGCAAATGAGAACTTAGCGCTCCATAGCCTTCCAGGGTTCCACCTTAGGCGTTGATATGATTTGACAACCATGACAAACATGTATAATGTACTTGTATAAAGTAACTGCATCTAATGATTATTTTAATAATAAGCTAACCTGTTGATTAATTGATTAATTAATTAAAAAAAAAAAACAACTTATGTCTACCCCTTTTATTCAATAACAGGAAGTTGTTTCAAGCTGACAGCATAGAAAAGGGACGCATAAATTATTGAGTATTCAGTTACTGTTTTTGTCCATAATAAAAAAAGTGATGAATATTTTCCAAAGTAAAATCAAATATTTTATTTTGACACAAAAATGATCAGTCTACTTTCATGGAAGACTCCAGAAATCAAAGAATATTTACTGTTGAGAAGCTGAAATTCCGAATATTTGGCAATTTTAAATAAAAAAAAAAAAGCTACCTAAATGATTCAGAGATGATTAAAAACAAATTAATTAATTTGATAATCGATTCATTGTCGATAAATAAGTCATGAAACCTCTAATAAAAACCAATCTGTGATTTCACTGAACAAGACCCAACAAGAAGTAGTCCACTTTTAGAAATTCCTGAGTTGCAAAAAAAAAAAAAAAAAAAGATGAGGAAGTGAGAGGAAGCAGAGCACTTACTCTGAGGATTTCTCTGGAGATGTAGGCAATCCAATCTTCCTTGAGCTGGTTCCCCTTGGTGTTCTTCACTAGGTCTGTGATGGAACCAGCTCCACAGAACTCCATCACCAACTAAACACCCAAAAATGTAGGAAAATAAAGCGTAACAAAGAGAAGCATTATCTGGTACAATATAAAAAACGAAAAAAATAAACAGTGGTTTCCTGATTTTCAATCATCTCCGAAATGTTAGCATTATTGTACAGACTTGAGAACTTACCCAAAGCTGATCGTCATGTCCAGGTGGACTCTTTTTAATAAACGCGCCATAGTAGGTGGCAATGTTTCTGTGGTGAGAATACTTCTTAAGCATATTAATCTCCAGTTTAATTTCCTCCTCTTCATCCTGCATTCAAACAGAAGTTACCAAGGGTGAGAGAGAGAGAGAGAGAGAGAGAGAGAGAGAGAGAGAGAGAGAGAGAGAGAGACATTAAGCATTTCCAGTACGGAAATTTCCAGTTAGAAAAGTACGATTTCCGAGATCCCATCTGGCGGAAAAGAACCTCATTCTTTCAAGAGGTCCTGGCCCCATCACTGAAGACATTTAAATATGAATCAAAAACAATCCAAACACAAAATGCAGTTTTTAAATGCGGGTTTTAATTAATAACGGAGAGAAAAAAAATCCAAACCTATCCGGTGTGTGAAAAAGTGATTCCTTCTTTAACTGCCAGAGTGATCGCTTTTAGTTTAAAAGCTGCATCATATGCTTTTTGTCTGGTATTCTCCATGTTGATCATGGTTAGAAGAAAGACTGAAATAAGGAAGTTGTGATTACAGGTGATCATACAATTTCATAGGACCCCTGTGTACTACTCATTCATTTTATTGGTCGGCTGTTGCCGGGTAACACATTTTTCCCCGCGACGGCGAAAAGAGCGGAAGTTGTGATTAGTCATACAATCTCATTGGACCTCAGTGAACTACTCATTCATTTTATTGGTCCATGTTTTTCCCGCGATGGAAAAAAAAAAAATTAAAAAGCTGCTTCATATTACACGCCGCAGTGTTGAAAGTGTGGAAAAAAAGTAGCGGCTTGCAATCCGGAATTTACGGTATATTGGGGGGAGCTTGACAAGCTCAACTTGCCGTTATCATTAGTGGTTTATTGGTTTTCAGAACCACTTTTCGTTTTGTTACCTGCACCATATAATAAAAATAAAGCAGTTTTATTTTCATATTCATCTTGCATATAGTACTCTAAAAGCTGTGGCTGTGGTTCAAAGTGCTCTATCAACAAAGTTCATGTGAATGTCTTGCAGGTTAAGTCGTGCAAGTACAATTAAAAAAAAAAAAAAAAAAAAGGGGACTTGCATGTACTGTGAAACTGAATGGCTCACTGCCAATACTTAACTAACTGCAGAAATTGTCATTGATGGTAACTTTTTGTTTATCACTTGTTAACATAACATGAAGCTAACTGAGGCCCAAATGGCACCGACGATCACATGGCTTGCTCACAACATCGCGGTTACGACTGAGGGCCCGTTGAGCTATTTGTGACAACTTAGTGGCTTCTTGGACTCCTCAAGGCCAGTTAAAAGTTGACACGGGGGCTGGTCTCGCAAGCTGGATGCTTTGCTCTCATGAGTCACATTTGGCCTGCGGGCCGCTAATTGGAGATGGCTTGGCTACCGTATGATGTTCGATTTGTGCAATATGGTATTTGATTTGCGCTCCAATTGCAAGCCCCTCAGAAGATATTTCAAGTACAAAAGCGGGTTTTACGCCCAGCTATTTTGAACTGTATGTTGTTTCTGTGTTGTTTTTGTTTTATTTCAATTTTTAGCTTCAATCAAGTTGTTTTTAAATGCATCTTTTATGAATGTAACTGTTTTTCTTATTTTAAATAGTTTAAATAAACAATAATTATCAATAGGCTAATCTGAAATCTGTGATTCGCTGAGCCCTACTAAGCACATGATGTCTAAAAAGACAACTGTTTCATCTAACTAATCAGTTTGATTTTTTTTTGCCATAGTTGTTTCAACCTCTTATTTTATGTTAGATATTATATTTTAGGGCTGCAAGGGGTTCTCAAGTAATTCGAGTACCTCGATTTAAAAATATGCTAAAGGCAGATTTTTCAATTTAGTTTCTAGAGAGGAAAATATTGCACTGCTATGCACGGTTTAAATTTAAGGAATAAATGTAGATTACCTAAAAATGAAAACCAGTCGGCCGTTCCATTAAGTGGAAATGTGTTTTTTGTCTTCCATAGCTTTGACTAGGCAAAAAAAAATATATATATATATATATATATATATATATCACTGTGCAGAAATAACATATAAAGGGTCAGATTTGCATAAATTGCAACAAACGCGCCTGCTACTTCTTCGTGTAAGGAAGCCGAGAGGAGTCAAGTGGCGTATTCGGGTTTGCTCAGTTTGGTCGAAAAGCGGTTTTCGGTCGTAATCCGAGGCATAAAAAACTCGAAATTTTTGGTCGAAAACCGATTTGGTCGAGAACAGAGACGTTCAGAAACTGAGGTTTGACTGTGTGTGTGTGTGTGTGTGTGTGTGTGTATATATATATATATATATATGTATATATATATATATATATATATAATTTTTTGTTTTTTATCAGAGTGATATCCTTTTCAACCCATATGATCCAGCCCCAAATGACGTATTAATCCTTGCCGTGTGTGTTTGTGGTACCAGTATATGAATGTGTCATAGTTGAGATGTTCTTTTTTTATGCTGAACGATATTTGTATTGTTTTTTTTTTGTTTCTTTTTTTTTTTTAAAGACTGTGACTTTTAAGTTAGATGAACCAGGTGGCAGCTGCCATCATTAACATTTTGACACCCCACTGGCAATGAATCTGTCAAGACAAATTTCTAAATTTTATTATAAATGCTCCTTATGTTGTCTACATAGTGTGTAGAAAAAGCGTATTTCGTATTTACACTCACTTCGGCCCATTCTTCTCTCAAACAGAAATGCTAACGTCCTACACGCCACCAAAACAGCTTCGGACGGCACATGATTGATCCCCATGTGCATTTGTTTACCCTGGCAGAATTGTAGCGGTGGCAGGTGAAGGATTTACAATGGAGAGTAATGATGAAATTAGCTTTCATCAGTCAACAGTTCCTCCAAGTGAACTGACATCTAACTTGGATGAAAAGCACGCAATGAGATACAGGTGCAAGCTGGACAGTTTGGATATTACAGATCTTATCAAGTGCCAGGAGTGCTTTTTACAACTCTGCCGATGGAAGAACTACAATTCTGAGTCCCTGCGAACATACAGGGGCTTGGAATTCTACAAGTTTCGGTTACTGGCGGTATGTACTTCGAGCGCTCATAAGATGGCAACATGGCAGGCCCGAGATGGATAAAAACTGGTGAATTATCTGCTGAATTCATATTGCATATACGCAATATTTATCAGAACGCTGCGTTTAGACTAGTGGGAGGTGCATCGAACATGTTTAAAAAAAAAGTTCTTTGGATGGCTTTCTTTTACTTTGAAAACAGAAAAGTCTCTTAAGTATTACGTATAATTATTATTGAATATTCCCACAATATTCCCTCTGCACCACCAATGATGCACGTGATTGGTTATAGTATATTCACATCACTTGTCAATCCAATGTTACGAATTGTATATGTGACTCGCCTTGGCAAAAGTCAGAACTTGCTCAGTTCGGTTCAGAGATCCAAGGCAATAATGGTTCATTAGGTCAAACGTTCACCCCTTTCATCCATTAAAAGTTGAACAGAGATATCCCGATCACATTTTTTTGCACCCAAGTCCAAGTAATTTCTTTTAAAATAGTTGCCAACACCGAGTCTTGATATGATACCTCGGCAATGCATGCTGAAGACAAAAAGAGCACTTTGAATAAAAATCTTATCGAATTATTGAACTTCATCCATCCATTTTCCAATCCGGTTATGCTCATTTGGGTCGCGGATGTGCTGGAGCCTATCCCAGCTGTCTTTGGATGGTAGGCAGGGTACACTCTGAACTGGTTGTCAGCCGATCGCAGGGCACACAGAGACAAACAACTATCATCTGCCATTTGGTGGATTTGAGGCGTCTGTTTATTCAGTCAAGCTCTAATTATTTTTACACTTGACCAAATTATTTCGAGGGCCGGATTAAACCCTGCTGCACGGGCCGTACATTTGACACGCCTGCCCCAAACGATGACTCAATTATCGATATACTTGTCATTTAATTTGATAATTATTTTATTTTCAAGAAATTGATGAATTATTGCACCTCCAGAGTAGACTGGGTGGTTTTAATCGGTCCTGCATCATGAAAAGCTTAATGACGTCTCACTGATGAGGACCGGCTTACTGTGGCTAGCGGATTAGCCTCGGAAACACGTGATGTTGTGGCTGGGGGAGTTTTATATTTTTCAGCCACATTGGCTTAAGAGGTTACAGGTACCGACAGGACCTGTTGAAGCCAGTTTGCTGACTCCCTTTCATTTCAAAAGACATTTACGCAGCTCTGCACATGTGCGTCTGTTTTATGCTCTGGAACTTCTAAAGCCTGAATCTTTGTTGAAAGAAAAAAAACCATCAGGCTTTACCTCTGTGACATCCATGACCTTGATGGCAGCCAGCTGTCCAGTCTTGACATGTCGTCCCTGTGATAAGAAATTGCAGAACTGGTTTCAAACTCTCACTAAATTCAACAAACACGGGTGACCGAAAATCTCAAAATGTTAAACTTTAAAACATATTCACTTTTACATTATGACACACACAACACACAGTTATTGTGGCAAGCACGTTACGAATAGTCTAGTATTGATTTTCACAATGAAAGCCACATGCTTGACGATCGGGAAAGTGAGATGAGATGGACAACTCCACCTTGAATCTATTTCACTTCGATTCCAGAAGGTCGCTTTGTGCCGCAAACACAATGAGGTGGCCATTTGGCTCCCGAGCCCAGCATGACAAGAGGACTATAAGCGTGTGGCCAAGCCATACACAATAAAATGAAGACAAAAGACTGTTGGAAATAAATTATTTCCACTTAATTTAAGTTCTAAATCTGAGTCTGAGTTTCTGATAGTATTTGCGCCTTCAGAGAAGGCCTTGGAGGCTCTGACAGAATGCCACGGATAGAACTGCAAACTTTGTGCACTTTTTGAAATGATTTATCCGATTCACCGATTAATAATAAAAAAAAGATACAGGGATGAATCATTATTAAAATAATTGTTAGGTACAGCCCTACTCTGAACACCATTAATATTTTCCTTATATTTTTTTATAATATTTTGTTTGAATAGCTTTGAGCCATCAGTCACGTATGGCCACTTCCATGTTTACCACACAGACATTTGCTGCAGGCGGACATACTCCGTTCCAAGGACCGGGGCCTTAAATTAAAAATATGCCTGAGGTTTGGGGTCGCCAGCACTCTCAAATCAGAAAATATATTACCTGAGTAATCAATGGAATAATCAACAGGATAATCGATTCTAAAAAGATATGTTAGTAACAGTCCTACCTAATATTATAATATTAGGTCTTGATAGAGACCCAGCTGAACGTAGACGTATTGTGTTTTACAACAGTACTTTTGGCCCTGAATTGGGAGTTCCCATGCTACTGTGCAGGCCACATGGGTGCCCGAGTCCGGTCCTCGAGGGCATCTATCCTGCCTGTTTTACATGTTTCCCTCCTCCAACAAGCTTTGCAGAAGCCTGATAATGACCCTGATCATTTGAATCAGGTGTGTTGCAGGAGGGAAACATGCAAAACAAGCTGGATAGGGGCTCTCGAGGACCGGATTTGGGCACTCCTGAGTGTAGGGTGTCCAATTCTCCAAAGTGCTCTGCCCGCTCCTTGTGCGCCCTTATTCCGCACTTCGGCTGAGCCCACGGTCATGGCTTCTCAGCCGAAGTACATTACCCACAATTTATTGCAGATTTGACTACAATAGTGGGGAAACTGGCACCGTTCGGTAGAGTTCTTGTGCCTGCGTAGAAAAAAGAAAGTCCTTTCGAGTGCAAGTATCAAATTATGTGTATGTATAATTTCAATCAATGTTTTTAAGTCACCTACATATCTTGTCCTAACGTGGTTACCGTACTTAAAGACTTCTGCTCATGCGCCGCAGATCGTGCAGGAGCCGCAAATGGTGCAAATAGTGGAGCCCAAAAGCTCGAGCCCGAGTTTTTACTTTACAACCTCTTTACTGCTATGTTAATATCTTTTGAAAGATAAAAATTGCCAAAACAACAAACGGTGCCGCCATATTTGGTGACGCAGTGGCGTAGACCAATGACATAACACGCTCTGTCCCAATTCTGCAATTTTGGCAGGCTTGTAACCTGCGCCCTCAAACAGTCCATGCGCCTCTACTGAGTGTACACTTTATTGAGAACAACTGGGTGTGGGTATCGGGACTGGGCTGTAGCAGAGTATTAAAAAAAAAAAATTACATTAAAAATAAATAAATAAAAGCACATCCCACTCACTTTAACACACAGGCAGTGGCTGGAGTTCGCGTCTAACATACCCATTTGAGCTTCGTACACATGCGCAGGGAATCAATGTAATAATCGAGAAAACAACAACAACAAACGGTTACTATTGGCCATCAACACACCACAACAAAACTCATTGTCCACTCATCTGCTGCAGAAGGAAGAAGGTAAAGGTCTGCCTCCACAAATGCTCACTCACTGCACTGCACTCCCAGCTGTTGACTGACTCACTTCTCCAATCATAAATATTACAGCAGCCACTTTAGATTTGTGATTGACAGTCAGTAGGAGGGGATAGATAAGCTGCCCATATGTGCTGCCTCTGCTTTGGCTCAACTAAGCCTAAATGTGGCATCAAACCCGGTGGAATCTGTAACAGCAGAAGGGAGCAAAACCTAACTCTGACCTCCAGTCTGTGCTGTCACCGCGAGGATCCAGCAGTTTCGGGTCAGGAAACACCAATGCACTTGCCATTCTATGCAACCCCGACCTACGAAGCAGCAGCATTGCCCCAGCGCAGGTCGCCCAGGAGCATTGACGTCATTTCCAGTAATTGCTGTGCAGTCAAATATAATGAACATTTTAACACCATACCGCACTGCCAAATTAATTCATCATCAGATTTGTTGACGTGTACATTCAAGTACTGAACATTGAGAATGTGGAGCGACATGCTGATTTTAAAGATGCTCCGTGTACTGGAAGGGTTCGGCAATGTTACCTTAAAAGTTACAAACCTAACACGACTTGTTGAAAAATGTTATCCACACATTCAAAGATGTGTGGAATTTCAGAACAGTTAGTGGTTGATTTGATATTGTGATGAACATGTTTTTGTATAATTATGGTGTGGCAAAAGCTGTATTGTCTTACAGCTTTATTTTGAAGAGCATGCAGGCATGCGAATGCACCCTGATGGTGACACAGAGAGGAAGCGCTGAAGTAAGTGGTCCTGCTGATGGCATAAGTCAGCCTTCCTCAACTGACGGACCGCGATCCACGACCGGACCGCCGACCTCCTCTGTCCGGACCTCCTCTGTCCGGACCCTCGGCAAATTGTATAAAATAATAAATTATAAAGTGATTTTTACCTTATACATTTTATATTTGTGGACTATAATCTGCGCATTACGGCGATCGCTTGTGATCTTTGCAGCTGTTTACCAGCAGAACACCGCAACATGGTAAAGGATCATCACAATGGCGTCCTCAAATAATATTTGCATGCCTCAGACATTGCATTCACCTTTAGTGGAAGAACAGCACTGCACATTCCTGTGCTCCCTTGTGTCTTTTTTTTAAAATGGTTCTTAACTCCTCTTCTGATATGTTTCAGTGATTTCAGAGGGGATGTGAAAAGGGGAATTGTACAAATGAAAAGGATATTTTTGTTTTCATGTTGAGTATTTATTTTGGTAAAATGAGTATTTTGTTAAATTGTTTTGTTAAATTAAGGGAAAAAAAAGACAACTACTGTTTAACAAAGTTAAAGTAAAAATTGTCTTATTTCCCTAAAAGGGCTATTTCTATTATTAAGCAGGCACAACTTAACAAAATAAAAGAGTTCCTGTGCCTCAACACAATACCTCTCATTATTTGCTGTGTACTGGCAAAGTGAATAATTGTTATTTTCATGCACCCCATTATTGGTTGGTTGTGAGGAGTGTTGATTTGTATAAGCTTGGCTTAACCATACTAAATGGGCATATAGCCCTGCTCCCCATGACCGCCGTGCATGGGACCGGACCTTGGTCTTATTAAAAATAAATAAATAAATAAAAAGTGGACCGACAGCATTTCTAGTTGAGGACCACTGGCATAAGTGATGATGACAGACCACAACACACACCCCCACCACCCAAAAAACAAAAAACAAAAAAAGATCAGCACTTTCTAACCTCACTAATTTTCATGCACTTTAATTTGTCCAGCTGTGCAGTATTTACACTTCCAAGATGTGGTCTTTGCAGTATCAGAAACCACTGTCCTGGTTTACATAAAACATGTCATTAATCTTGATGGCATGCTCTTTATTTTTTCCAGCTGTACAGTGTTTAAATTCACAAGGCGAGGGGGCAGTGAGGCACGATGCAGATGTCCATTTTTCTTTGTACATTGTACAAAGTTTTGCCGTTGAGAAATTGCACAGTTCGACGTGTTTGATTTTAGAGAGAGATTTTTCTTTTTCATTCAAATATCGTGATATACCGTTGATAAAATGTCCGACAATATATCGAGTATCATAGATAGATATTATGTGTTGGGATATTGTTATTGTGGGCCACATATCGTCACAGTATTGAATTGTGAGTCCCACGCTGATTTGTAATGCTGGTTTAGGGATCATAGTTTGTGGTACATTAATGGTTTGTACTTAATACAGGCAATTAGAATCAATTAGGAGGGCAACAGTTATTTGCAGAAATTTGCTATTTGCGTCAGGCTCTGTCTGGCCTTGAGCCTTGAGAAAGGTTGGCATCCATTGTTATAGTTAAAGCAGACAGCATTTGTCCGTTGTTGAGATGAAGATCAGTTTACTTTTCAGAATCATGTTATGCAGAAACACAGAGAATACTCAAGTTTTGACATATTTTTCTGCTTTTCATCGTAACCACGCATGCACACGCACGGCGTGATGGCGTCAGCAAACATGAGCATTTCACTCGCTTTTGAAGTCAATGACTGTGCGAATTGGAGTCAACAGCAACAATTAAAGCACGTTAAATGAACACTGCGAGAAAGTTGCACATACGTGAATGAATCTCGTCAGCCAATGCCTCCCTTTGTGTCCCAATTGCAACACAATGCGTGTGGACTGTCTGGAAGAATTCACACAAAAACACCAAACGTTTTGTTGAAAAGAATCAGCCACTCAGAGAACACTGTGGCTCTTGTGTCTTGTGATAAGGCTGAGGGTCATCATGGGGGGAGGTGGCCACAAAAGAGATGTCAGATTGAGAAGCTGAAGAAGTGAGTGTGCCTGAGTGTGTGTGTGAAACATTTTTGCATTTTGATGAATGTAATGAGGGATCCAACGTGAGTTGAACTATTCTCACCACGCGACATATTAGCACATCCAATCATGTCATGGAAACAAAATGAAAACATTTGACTAAACAAGAACCATCCGCAACCTTATATGT